GGCAGTAGTTGTCACTCACATTTCACGAGTGGGAAACAGGCGCCGGGGCGGGCGGAGCCTGCGCTGTGCCTGAGTCTGTGGTAAGGCTGGGCCAGAGGCTGGGCATCAGAGTCCCCCGGGCTGGTTGTCCGGCCGCGTCTGCAGGAGAGTGCTGGTCTTGTCTTCATGGCTGTTGAGCAGGTCCCCTGATGCCTTTAGGCACGGGGCTGGTGCCTGGGACCTGTGCCCGGGGCATGGGAGGATTGCTTTCCAGGCATGCTGGAATTCAGGGAAGGCCCTTCCTTCTTGGTCATTGACGGGGCCCAGCCAGATGGGCACCTGGGCTCCTCAGAGCGGCAAGACTGCTCCCCCTCCGTGTCGGCACTGCCGGGGAGGCCAGCCAGGCCCGTCTGACTTCACATCACCTGTAGAGAGGGGCTGACCGCCAAGGCTGTTTGCTCCTTCAGGCAGAGCGATGCTTCTGGGGCAGCTGGGGGCTGGGGTGAAGCTGGACTACACTGTCCCAACCGCCCGCTCCCTGTGCCCTTTTCCCTGGCTCCCCTAGGCCCTGCTGCAGGCACCTGGCTCCGCCATAGAGGGACTGCTTCCTGAGCCTGGGCCTCTCAGCTCTGGTGTGCGTGACCTCGGGGAACTGCCGCGGCCCATGGAGACTCCTCTTCAGCCGCCGCCTCCAGTGCAGCGAGTCATGGACCCAGGTAGTGAGCAGGTCCTGGCAAGGAGGCTAGGAACCTGCCACCCCTGGTGCCGAAATGGGCCCCAGGCTCAGGCCTGGACTTTGGCAACAGAACCAAAACCTTCCTCAGACCTACTGACCCCTACTCTGTGCCAGGATGGTTGCAGGTGACCTCATACAGTGTGTAGACGGGGAGACTACTCTCCAGAGAAGAGAGGTGCCCGCTCAAGGCTGCAGCACATTGGGGCCCGAGCAGGGTCTGGTCCTTCTGCCACTGTGCCACTCCCATGATGCCCAATGCCAGGCCCCCTTCTTTCCTTAGAAGCAAGCAGTTGGGGCGGGGGCGAACCTCTGGGTTGGGTTGGGGGCATCACCACAGGCTGAGATTAGTCTCAGGCTGAGCCAGGTGCCCCAGGAATGGGGCTGAGGGAGCCAGGGGACTGGCCTTCAGCAGGCAGGGTCTTGTGCTAGCAAAGAGCTGTGCCCCTTCCCCTAGGCTTCCTGGACGTGTCGGGCATCTCCCTCTTGGACAGCAGTGCTAGCGTCTGGCCCAGCCTGCCCTCCTTCCCAGAGCTGACCTCCACCGCCGTGCCAGCCGCAGGGCTGGAGGACGTCGGCTCCAGCAGTGGCTCTCACGAGCGTGGCGGTGAGTGGCTTGCACCCGCAGAGGCCTCTGGGAAGGCTGCCCTGTTTCTCCATGGGTCAGAGGCTGGCGTGTGGGAGGAATCCGGCCATGTCAAGGTGTTTGTACACTGGCTCTCTCCTCCCCCTCAGTGTCTGGGGTGGGACTTGGAGGTCAGTGGGGTTACTGCCCCGGCCACACAGGCCCCAGGTTCTGCAGGCCTCCTGAGCCCCCTCCTGTGTGTTGCAGGTGAGGCCACGTGGTCTGGATCCGAGTTTGAGGTCTCCTTCCCGGACAGCCCCGGTGCCCAGGCCCAGCAGGACCACCTGCCGCAGCTGACCCTTCCCGACAGCCTCACCTCTGCAGCCTCGCCGGAGGACGGGCTGTCTGCTGAGCTGCTCGAAGCTCAGGCCGAGGAGGAGCCGGCAAGCACAGCAAGTCCAGGTCTCAGGGCGGAAGCCGAGGCAGCCAGCCAGGCCCAGCTCGCTACCCCCGAACAACACCCTGGGCAATGGCAAGGCCCCTGATGGCATTTCCTGAGGTCCAGGTGTGGGGAGGCAGCTCAGGCCACACTACGGGCCCAGCCCCTCGCCTGATCCCAGCCCAGTATGTCCAGCTTCCTGGGCTATGGCTCCGAGTGATGTGTGGGGACTTCTGTAGGTGAAGGGCTCGTGTCCACTCACCCTGCTGGTTTCCAAGAAATGACCTGCCAGCATCTGCGGGATGGTCCTGGCTTTGGGGAATTGAGCCCTTGTTTGAGAATCTTAAGCACATCTTTGGGGTGGTAGGGAGCTGGGAGCAGCACCCCAGGGTAAACCAGTTTGGCGGGAGCTGGGGGAGGAGAGGAAGGCTTCTTTGCTGCTCGTGTGGCGCACGGAGCCTTGGTGGTGGGGAGAGGAGGTGTGGGCCTTGGGGAAGGGCATCTTGGCCATGTACGCTGAGGCCCAGTGCTTGCTTCTGCGTGGTCACTGGCTTCCCAGGAAGCAGCAGGGCCCAGGCGTGATCAGGTGTGGCAGTGGGGTAAGGGAGGAAGGGGTGGGTGTGGTGTTTGCCTAACTGCTTTGCAGAGCTTGCCTTCCTGCACAGCTGAGCCAGTGCTATCTACTGGAAGGCACCCCAACCCTGGGGACCCTTGAAGCCCCAATTACTGTCTCTTCTGTCATGTGCCCCCATCCCTGTGCCACACTGCACAGCTGGCTCAGGTTGACTGACATCTGCCAGCACAGCTGGAGAAGGGAGGCAGTGAACTTGCCCACCTCTCATGGGAGAGGAGGGTTGGAAATTCTAGAACCTTCAGCAGATACTCATCTGTGCTTAGACCATGATGTTTCTTCTTCCCCCGGGCCGACACCCCACAGACCTAGTATCTCCAGTGTATCCCCTGTCAGCTCCCAAACTTAAACAACAGTCTCTTCTACATACACAAGGCACCTGGCCAGCCCCAGTGGTGAATAAGTTATAAATTTAAATTCACACTCTCCAAGCCAGTCCTGACCAGATCTCTTTACACACAGCTCTCCCCACAAGGGGAAACGAGAGGCCAGGGCAAGAGTGGGTGAGGGCCCTTCTGTCCTTTCCCAGTGTGTGTGTGCTGTTCCTCCTACCACCAGGTGCCTTGGGAGGCTAAGGCATGCATGGGTCTTGTGCTCTGTCCTGCAGGGGTCCTCACCTGCCCCGGCTAGAGTCCCTTGCCTTCCCACACTCTGTGCTTGTTGCCATGAAGGCTGCCTCTGGCCTTGTCCTCTCGTCTCTGTCCACATTGAGTCCCCACTGCTGCTTGATTTGTAATGTTCGCATGTACAAGGAAATTCAGAGCTCTTAGGCCCGTAGCACAAGGACGATCAGCCGAAGGTGGCACAGGCCAAGTGTATGGAGGGAGGCCCCCAATTAGTGAACACTGAGTTTCTAGCACTCTGATCGCACAGACAGCGAGCCCTGTCCAGCCCACCAGCGCAGCCACACTGCAGACAGGAGGCCTGGGTGCAAGGCCAGCGCCGGGGCCTGCTCCTGGGCTGCCTGGGAGCCCAGCTCCGCCTGCGGAACTGCAGGAAGAACAAGCCCAGGGACTGCTCCGAGGGCAGGTCTCTGTGCTGCAGCCTGGCCCCCTGGCCCCGGCACCCTCACCCAAGGGTTCTGGCCTTCCTTGCTTCACACATGCCTCTTCCCAAGTTGCAGGATAAAGTGGATACCAATGCTAATCATTTCCAGGGTAAACAGGAAAACCAGGTTTCTCAATTTCTCTATCATCTGCTCTGAAGGAAAATGACAAGTGAAAAAATAAACATGTACTATGCTTTGAATATTTTAACTAAAGCCTTTATTCTATACAACTGTGAAATACAGATTTTTACCCTTTTGGCATTGCAGACTGTCCACTTTTCTGGAAACTTACTGGTTTGACGGGAAGAAAAGAAAAAAGTACAACCATGCTGGGGTCAGATCTATGACAGGAAGGGAGCACAGCCGCCCCTCGAGGTTCGGGAGCACGGGAGCAGGGCAAGACGGCCCAGCAGCAAAACCCTCCCTTTAGCCCAAGGGCCCCTCATGCAAACATAACAGGGCTGGTAAATGAGTTTGGTGTGTTTTCTGACATGAATTCACGGCTATTGCTAAAAAACGTGCAGCAAAAGTGCACTGTTGTATCCAACAGATAGAAAGGGCTGTTTACAAAAGAAGTGGGCTGCTCTCTGCGTGAGGGAGGAGGGCTCAGTGGAAGTGGGGCTCACGTCCTCAGCCAGCGGCAGTGACCTGTCCACTTCCCAGAGGCGGCTGCCCGCGGTGAGGGAGGGAGGGAGCCCTGTCCCTACAGCTGTGCGAATCCCAGTGTCTCAAACAGGAAGGTCTGGACCGAGGCCCATCAGCTGCCTTCAGCTGAATCCGTGAAGACGTAGAAAAGAAACCCTTCCTCACCCCCGCCCCGGGCCCCGCTGCTATGGGCGCCGCTGCACACGAGCTGGGGAGGCCCCTGGCCTGGAAGGAACTGCCTCTGAAGGCACTTGTGCTTCTGGCTCCACACGGGAGGCGTGTCTCACGTAGTCTGGTCGGGGCAGACCATTGCTCTCGTCTGAATACAAATGACCTTGGGGAGAATCCAAAGTGTTTTTATGCCAAAAGTTGAAGTGTTTATCCCCAATAAGTTATATTCTGTACAAGATCCAAATGATTCTATGAAAGCTTTAGATTGTTAGAAAGAACAGTGAAAAGCAATCTGGATAGAGGTACAACAACAAAAACCTGCATATAAAACTCTGGAAAACAAGTATGTATGTTTCCAGGCTATGAATTACCAAAGCAACTCACCATGATATCCTTGCACTGACACCATACATTTCAGGTAGCATTTTAAACGAAGTTAAAATTTCACCACAGTCTTAAGTTTTGATGGTGCCTTGCTGCTCACCAGAGCAAGTACCTCTGGTGCCACCTGGCTTTGCCCGTAAATAAAATGACGCAGTGGAGGAAGGAGTAAGACAGCTGCACCTCCCTGTGGCTGCCGGACAGTCCGGGGCACTGGGGTCAGTGTGGCATCGCTGGGAGACAGCGGTCCAAGTGCTATGGCCCAGCCCCTGGAGGTGCCACAGCTCCATCTGCAGGAACACATCTGAGGTGCAGTAGTAGAAACAAGCCCAACACTAGTCATTTATGAAATGGGCTGGCTCTCGAATTGTACATCAGCAAGTTCCTATTAAAAATAACTGTCTTAAATGGGAAAACAATTTGTTTTTAATGACAAACTTGGAAAAAGCCTTCATAGGTACTGCACGAATGGAATGTACTCTTAGAAAAGCTACTCAGCACGTGTGAAGTGGAAACACAGTGACAGATATGGCCCTACAGGATGTGTTTCTAACAAGTGCTAACGAAGATAAGGTCCTTTGAAATAAAAGGAGGAAGCCAGGCCTGCGCTGGCCTGTCAGTTCTCTGTACATCTCGAGAGACAGTTGGCTGGGGTTCTGCTCTCAGACTCTGCCTCCCTGGGGACAGATTGCTCTACACAAGGAGACTGGTTTCTATATTACATTTCCATTAGTCACTGCAGTTGAAAGAGAATCTCGGTCCATACCAAATCGGCCATTAGAAGTCTGGCTCCCACTGGGCTCAGTGGGCTTCCTAGGACTACTCTTGGGGCCACAGAGGAAGGTCAGTAAATGGATACCCAGGAGCGCTCGCCCACCCCTCACGTGGACTTCTGCCGGTAATGGAGGGTGAGGTCACCGCCACTCTTCCATATGAAGTGTTTCACTGTCCGCAGGTCCATATTTGGATCCAAAACCTGAACAGAAAAACATAAATTAGAAATGTCAAAGCCTCTGCTATCTAAGGCCTTTACGGTTGCCCTCCCCCACCCCCGGGGTGGCAACCCTGGGCGCAGGACACCGTCTCCAGCCATTCCTCGCGAAGGCCTTCAGTGCATCTTGTTTTAAAACAGCTCCACCCACCCCACTTCACATCCTAAACTAAGAGAATCTGCTCTGCAAATCAAGATGACCCTGTGTCCTTTCCTTGGGAGATACCCAGAGTTCCTTAGAGCCTCTTTACGAGCAGAAGCCCCTTCTCCCCCCAAAGGCAACAGACCTGGGAACCATAATCAGACCCCGTGATGTAACTCCGAGCACCGGCCCTGGTCCGCAAGCCCACCTACCTGGTCCTGGCACAGAAGTTCAATTTTCTCCTCTGCCAACACAGCAATATCCTCCTCTTTCTCCTGTTCTCCTGGCTTTTCATTATTAGAAGAGCTAGTGGTTTGCGACTCATTATCCAAGTTGATGATTTTCTCATAAACATGTTCCATGACTTTCCGGACTTGGAGCATGTCGCTAGCAGAAAGTCTATCTCTGTAAAAGGCAAGGGCAGACTTGACATCAGGAAGTCACTGGATATTCTCTCTTCCCTATTCTTTGGTGTTAACATTTTATAAGGATGAAAACAGACCACAGAATCATAAACCAATACAAGTTTTGGTCATTGCCTTACGCCATTTTTAGAACTGCCAATCGACCTCTGTGGTGCCCTTTAAGCCATGACTGTGCTGCACCAGAGCGGACACACTACCTGCTCTGGGAGGGAAGGCGGCCGGGCTCCCAGGCCCATTTCCCCCAGGGCCTGCCTGCCTACAGCTACAACCTCCTGCCCCAACTCCACACCCACAAACCCGATAGCTGACTGGGTATCTCCAGTTGGCTGTTCCCCAGGAACCTCAAACTCTACATGTCCAAACCTAGATTCATCAATGGCCTTACCCCCAAACCTACTTCTGTTTCTCTGATGTCAGTTAATGGTTGAACCAAGCAGGCTCAGGCTCAAACTCTGAAAGCACCTTGAGTTTAGGGTCATTACATCTAGTGAAGTGAGATCTAGGACAGTGATGGCGAACCTTTTGAGCTCGGCATGTCAGCATTTTGAAAAGCCCTAACTTAACTCTGGTGCCGTGTCACATATAGAAATTTTTTGATATTTGCAACCATAGTAAAACAAAGATATTTTTGATATTTATTTTCTATATTTAAATGCCATTTAACAAAGAAAAATCAACCAAAAAAAAATGAGTTTGCGTGTCACCTCTGACACACGTGTCATAGGTTCGCCATCACTGATCTAGGACTTGCTCCTGTGTGTGTGCAGGCAGGTGGGGGGAGGGTAGGAGGAAGAAGCAGATGAAGCAAATGTTTGGCCGTGTGTGGAGAATGACTGGAAGCTGCTGGATGGGATAATGGGGGTTCATTCTCCTATTCTTTGTTTTGTATATGATTGGAAATACCCCCCAACAAAAGGTTTTAAAGTCTTATTCATTTTATTTGCTAGGATATACACCAATGAAACCGGAATTTCTTCTCCGACTTCCCTCTGAAGTTATTTTCCCACCGCCCCCCCCCCCGCCCCCCCATCCTAGGCTGCAGCACAGAGGTCCTCACTAGTTTTCAGTTCTTGCGCATGCTTCCACTTCCACTTCCATGTCCCTGATCAAACCATTTCCTGGACCTGGAATATCTCCTGAAGTTCTATCCATCCTTGCAGGTCTAGCTCAAATTCCGTGTCCTTCGAGAAGCCTTTCTGGAAAGCTCCAAAAATTCATTTCTTTCCCCTAAGCTCATGATTTCTTAGGTATCCATAGAAGCAGTTATTGTGGATACACAGGAGCACTCACCCAGTCCTCACGCGGACTTGTGTCAGTAATGGAGGGTGAGGTCACATCACTCTTCCATATAAAAGAGTGTCGGGCACAGATTATGGCAAGAGACAAAATCCATGTCTTATTTTTGAACATCTGTAGCTTACCACAGTAGGTACTTGGTAAATGGTTAAACTGTATGAAGTGATATTATAAAACTAGCCTTATATCTAGTCCTTGCCTCCTTTGCTATAAAAGCAATCATAAGGAATAAAAAACCTGTCTGGTAATTAATTAGATAAAAGCATCACATGACAGTACATTTACTTACTTTTTTAAGGTTTTTGCTCCTGAAGATGCATGAGGTTGGAGGTAGAAAGGAATTTTGTTGAATTTGGGCATATTTTTCTGAAATATTAAAAGTAAAAAATGGCATCATAGTTTCTATTAACTGGTAGATTAAAATGATGTCAATAGGAGAACATGATTTACAAGTTAATAGTTGTTTTACAATTAAAAGTCACTTTCTATGAAATTTACAGTAAGCTATCAAATTATCTAAGTCAGCCTTAGACAAAATGTATCAGAAAAGTATAAGGTTCAGTTTTGTAATAAAAGATTATATGTAATGTCAGTGGCAATATGAACTTGCAAACATGGCTCTTTTCAAATAACAATTCAAGGTATTAAAGGGAGACAAATTTTATTTTAATTCATGAAGCCATACAAACCAAAATCTAAATTCTACATTAAACTATTAAGGCTGATCCCTAAAGGCCCAAACAAAAAATTAAGTGCCTTGAGAGAAACCCATAACATTTGTCTTTGAGCAAAACCATAGTCTACGCTGGCGAGGCCCCTCATGCAATGGAAAGGCCACCAGGCCCTCCCCCGCTCTTCCCTCTGACGTCAGAGGGCTGAGGTTTTGCACAAGAGTGGAAACTTCAGCCAACTAGCTAGACATCTACCGTGAAGTAAACCACATACTTAGTGAAAGATAAAACTAACTGGTCATCTTTTCTCTGGGTATCAATCCCCTCCGAGCCTCCATGCCCTGGCCCATCCAGATGTCTCCTCTCAGGAATAAGCCACAGGCCTAAAGTATGCCAGGTGAGTTGCACATTCAAAGGAGTAGTGGTTTATGGGGGAGCTCGGACTTGGAGACGACCACAGAATACCCACCAGGTGTCACACTGGCGTGGAGGTGGTATATCTGGGACAGAAAATACTTTCTGAAGGTTCTAGAGATTAAATCTCTTTTCATATGGCTTTAGGGGTATACAAAACAGGTCAACAGCACAGAAGAGAGTCTAGAAACAGACCCATGTATATGCAGAAATTTAGTATATGATAAAGACAGCATTTCAAATTAGTAGAAAAAGGATAGATTATTTAAAAATTGTGTTGGCACACTGGCTATTGTCCATTTGTAGAAAGTTAGCATCCTACTTCACACCAAACAAAATAACTAATAGATTAAAGACCCAGACATAAACAATTATCATAAACATACTAGAGAATACAGGAGAACATTTTTGCTACATAAGCAAGACATGAAACTCAGAACCATAAAGTGTCAATCTGATTATATAAAATTAAAACTTTCTGCCTGACAAAAATACCACGAACAAAGTAAAAATTCAATTAAGAGACATAATAGTCAAAGAGTTAATATTTAATATGATGAGCTCCTATAAATTAATAAGAAGGAGAAATAACCCAATAGAGAAATAAGTAAATAACACAAGCAATTCACAGAAGAAATAGAAATGGCCAATATGAAAAGATACTTAACCTCACTACAAATTAAAAAAAACACCCAAATTATATTAAAACAATGAGATAGTATTTGTCTGTCTTTTATCAAAGATTGAAAGTACCCAGTGTGGGTGAGGGTGTGGGCACGCATATACTGTGGAGAGAGTGCGAACTGGTACAGCCTTGTGGAGGGCAATTTGCCGATATCTATCAAAATTTAAAATGTGCATACCCTTTGATCCAGCAATTCCACTTCTAGGAATTTATCCTAAAAAGTACACAAAGTTATATGTACAAGGATGTTCTCTGAAGCATTGTTTGTAATAGAAAACATTGGAAACAACCCAAGTGCCCATTAATAGGGTACTGGTTAAATAAATTATGGTACATTTATACAATGGAATAGTATACAGTCATTTACAAGAAATGATCCAATCTGTAGAGTCATGAAAAAATCCTCAAGATAGATTTTTAAGTAAAAACAAAAACAAAACAAAAAACCACCAAGTTGCAGAACAGTATGCATAACAGATCTTGTGAAAATAAAACAAGCTACATGCAGGTAATATATGCTGATGTAGCATAGAAAAAAGCACTAAAGGCTCTGCACTAAACTAGTAACAGTTGTTACCTCTGGGGAGAAGGACAGGGGGCAAATGGAAGAGAAGGAGTGATTGAGAAAGGGATGGGAGTTTCACTTTATTCATTTATGTTCTTTAATAAGCATATATTATTTTTATAGTTAAAAACCAATACAGATATCCACAGATGAATGCCAATACTACTTCTGCAACTTTGGAACTACAGGGAAGCAGAACAGGATTCTACCTGGCAGTCTAGTTTTTACTTAATAAATTTATTTACAAAAAGTGAGACTGAAGAGGGACGGGGGTCCTCGGGCAGGGGCCTGGAGAGCTCTGTATATAGGGCTGTGAGACAAGGGACCCGCCAGGTGGAAGGGTGCTTTGTAATCACATAAAGTAAAAAGGGAGTTACAACCACTCCCTCCTCCATCCACGATTAAAAAGACGTCTCTGAGGTGAATGGGGAGCCCAGGACTTAAGGGTGTTGGAAGGGTTCCGCGTGTGCCAGGGTTGAAGGGGTGTCCCCGGCACCAGGCGGCTCCTGCATCAGCTGGTAGAACTGCACGTAGCCCTCACTGGGTGCCGCCTGGTTTTCACGGACAGGAGACACAGAAGTCACTGTGGACATGCCAACCAGTCTGGCACCGGCGCAGGGCTGTGCAGTGGCTGCAAAGGGCTTAGAGCTGACACTCGGGGCTCCGGCTCCGTCCCTGGCACAGCTCGGGGCTCCGTGGCTGCAGCGGGAGGGCTACGCCTACTGCTCTCTTCCTGCCGGAGCCTCGGGAGGCGGAGCACGAGGATTCGGGGATGGCTGTCCTGTCAGCTTTCTGGGGTTTGTTTTCTTTGGCAATCTAGTTTTTATGACACTTTCAGGTTATACAGTCTGAAGCAGTTCTGAACTTGCTTCATGATTTGGAAAAAACACAAGGGCGAAGTGGGACTGGAGGACACTTACATCCACAGTGATGTCAATTACCCATTGCGGCACCGTCTCATTGAGGAGCATGGACTCGGTCTCCCCTCCGGAATCCCGGCAGAGCAGCCTAAACATAGCCACCAGGTAGTGAGTGACACGACAGCAGATGACAAAATCACTGTTATAAACACTAGACAAAGGGACAGGGCCTTACAGAGTTCCTTCAGGACAACCCACTGAGCTGAGGAAAGAAGTGCAGCCAGCCGGGATGGCTCACTCAGCTGGAGCGAGAGACTCCGGGGCCAGCAGCACCAGCGCTGCCTCTGAGTCCCTGCATAATGCGGGAAGCCTGTGTGCAGGCAAAGCCCTCGAGAAAGATCCCCTGCCAGCGCTGCAGCCCCCGGCACAGGCCTCCCCACGGAGCGGGGCAGGGTATTTTGGTAACACACTCAGGAAACCACCATAAAGGCGGAGAATGCTGCGCTCAAGGGCAAGACAAGCCCCTTTCTTACTTATGGCCCTACACACGGCTCTCGTGCGCTCTCCCCGTCACTCTAGCAGGCCTTGCTGGCAACGTGTAGGTAAGGCCAGTGTAGCTCTTTCCTGCAGGGACACACGCAGGCCAGCCTCACACCTCAGATCAGGCCATCGCTGGGCCCAACAATTCCCAGGAGCAGCCCAGTCCATCCTGCCTGACCCAGCTTGCGGGCAGTCACCTACTCTGATGCTGTCCTGTGGACAGGGACTTCTGGTGCTGCCATCTGTCCCCTGACCTCGGCAGTCATGCTGAATAAGTGAAAGTGAGTTTCCTGCAGACACCACCAGAGAAGTTGCCTCGAGGCAAGGTGTCGACCTCATTTAACAGCAGAGGCTCAGCTCTCAGAACAGTGGTCTAATAGCATCACTTAACTCTCTCACCGAGATGAGAAGCTTCCCAAGCCCTGGCACCTCTAGAGTGGTAATGAACAATCTGTAGCCTCCGCTTCCTTAGACATGCCTCCAGCCCTCCTCGCTCATACCTGAACAGTGTGCGGCCTCCTGCTTCACCAAAGATCACGGGGGTGTGGGGGGGCACTTGGAAATAGCCATTCCCCTTCTGTACTCGGTTCTCTTGCTCCCCATTTACTAGGAAAAGATACAGATGGTGTCAGATGCAGAGTTAGTGCAATGAACAGATTCTAAACATTATGTTTACCCAGGCTTCAAACACTGCAATATTTTTAAAGTTAAAAGTCCTTTAAGTCGGCCAGAGTAAAAAATAAAGGCAAAAAACAAACCAAGTCAAATTCCTGAAAGTAAGAAATACTTGGTATAGCAACTTGTGATGTGCCCCATGAGAAATGACTGCGTTTCAGAGGGTTTTAGTAGAAGAGATTAAAGTTTGAGATTTGAAGCAAAAGCATAACCATCTACTTGAACCACAGGGGAGCCTAGGAAAGTGTGTTTATAAATGGTAATCTGGTGTGTGTTTTTCTTGGGTCAGAAAAAAAATTATTTTCATGGCGGCCAGAACTAATGGCAGAGGGATCAGTGAAAAATAAAATCCCCAGAGAGGTCATACTCTTATTCATATTGTTCTCTGCAGATTTCATTTCACTGTTTTCTTTGTAATCTTTGGACCCAAGTGCAGTTAACCCCCACTCAGGTGCCAACTTGCTCATGAATTTCCCCAATGAATCCAGAAGCAGCCCCATCCTCTGAAATCCTACAGCACCTTCAGGCCGCTCCCATGACACCCAGCACTTCTCCCTGGACTCAGAATGCTTCATGCAGGTAGCTCTCTGCCCAGCAGAACGTCAGTCCTTGAAGGACAGGGTCCATGCCCATTTATCTGCATTATCCCCACCTATAGCTTACTAGAGGCCCGAGTACTTGAGCTCAATAATATAATCTAAGCAACTCCCGAGTATCTGCTGAGCACAGCAGGTACAGCAGGTTACCAGACAGGTGGACACCATAGTGTCCTGAGCTCTGGCTGGGGAGGTGGGCGGGCCCTGCCCTGCTTTACTGTGGCACTTTGACTTGAAGAATGACTTGGGGTTTCCTGGGACTTCTTCCCCCAACCCAAACCTGGCTCCAAGAGGTGCTGACAGTAGCACTGTTTCTTGACTAATCTTTATCGGACACTTGGGCCTCTGAGGGCATCCTGTCTGTGATGTTACAGATGGAGGACAAGCGAAGAACAGGACAGGACAAGCCCACAGCTACACCGCTGATAAATGGCAGAGCCATACCAGAGCCTTGCTTTCTCAACCCTCGGTGGAGAGATCTGTCCACTGAGTTTCCCTGGGTCCCAGCCCACTGTGCAATTCTGATGGGGAGGTAACATAAAAGAAAAGCCACATGGGGGGACCAGTGCCCTCTCTCTGGCAGGGACATCAGGAGACTGGCTTTCAAGGAACATGCCATGCTTACAAAAGAGATTTAAAGTCCAAAAATCATTCTGGATGAGTCAGTCAGCAGAGCGAAGTCCCTGCTAGGTGCGCATCGCTGCTGACCACCAGAAGCGGGCCATCCTCAGCGGACTCCAGGGAACTCAGAATCCTCAGCGGAGTGGGCCCTCGGTAGGTGGGACACAAGGCATCTTCAACTGGCTGTAGGTTACACATGAGTTGTCAAATTTTAAGATCTTTCCTCCTCTTTCTTTAATCAGACTGAGCCTATGAGAAGGTTGCTGCCCCTGCCTGTGGCACACACAGTCTTTGAATGTCCTCAAGGGCATTTATTCTTTATATAGACGTGTTCACTTGTCCTGACACTTCTGAGTTGGAATTTGATTTTTTTGAAACATTCAGAGCCAAGATCAGGCAGATCATCAGACTAGGTAATAGCAACATTTCAGGCCAACATGAAATATGACAATACAAGGCCAACCTGGCTTTCTGAGGCAGCTAACTAGCTGGCTTGAAGGTAAGTCCAGCAGGTCCATGGATACCCTGGGAAGCAGCTTCAGCATAAGCTTGCTAAGCTGTCTACTTTTAAGGACAAAGGTCATGTGAATATACAGGGTTGATTCTCTCTATATTGATCAGTTTCACTGATTGAAAGTTCCTTGGATTTTCAGTGAAGACTGGATGGATGTTCCTTCTTTGGGATGTGGAAGGGAAGGCAATAAATTGGGCACATCACAAATATTATGTCACAATTTAGCAAATGCTTAAAATGTTTCTTAAAATAACAACCAGTCTAAGTCTTTTTAACTTCTGAGTAATTGTTAACCATTTATCCCGATATAAAAGCACGAACCATGGTTTACTTCATTTTCTTCTTCGTCTATGGGATTCACATGTGTTCTAGGCCAATATTCTAGGAGTGCCTGGAGCAAAAGTCCTCCTAAGTTCACTGCAACAGAGTTAATTAAAAAGAAAAAAAAATGGAAAAGAGAATTACTCGTTTTTACCTAAAAATAGAGGGAAAGAAATAAAAACAAGTTTCCACATATTCTGATGTTAAAATCTTTTTCCTAATCCTCACCTGAGGATATGTTTTTATTGCTTTTACAGAAAGGAGAGGGAGGGAGGGAGGGAGGGAGAGAGAGAGAGAAAGAGAGAGAGAGAGAGAGAGAGAGAGAGAAAGATGAGAAACACCACATGTGTTCCGACTGGGGATCAAACCCACAACCCTGTGGTGTATGGGACGACACTGCACCCCCCCAAGCCACCTGGCCAGAGCCTGATGTTAAATTCTTAACCCAACGCCAATGATGTTTAAAAGCAAGACTTCAGAGATTTTGCCAAGTCTATTAAAATTTTATCTTTGAATGTTTGAAGCAGTGGTAATATGGAGCAAACGTATTCTATTTGGTTGTTCAGATATAGCCATTCTTTAAAAGGCTATTTCATATGAAGCCACTAGAACGGTATTTGTATACATCGGGTACATGCTACACTCTTAGGAAAATCCTGACCAAAGACATCATCAACACAACAGAACAGACTCTTAGAAAGATGAGCACAAGGAGGGAGCACAGACCCACCTTCTCTTTCGCAAGGAGGAAGAGAAGGAAGGACACACTCACGTTTTGGATCTGACCCGTCAGGGCTGCTGAAGCCGGCATCTTTGGCAGAAACCCAAGCAGCAAAACAGTCGCTCTCGTCCAGAGTAATAGTCAGCATCTGTCAGAAGCAAACGTTGTTAGTGGCATGCCATTTGGATACATTCTCCAAACGCGTATCTAAACCTTTATTTGTACTGTTTAACGAAAGTGCTAAGCCACAGATTCAGAACCAAAAAGTGTTTCATGCAGTTCTATGCAACTACAGTTTAATTTACTAGGACACAAAAAGATATTTAAACTACATTTTGCAAGAATTAATAATTTTTTCCCTTTCACACTTAAAAACATAGGACTTTGTAATTAATGATACTTAATTTTGAGCTACGTTAGAAATTTTCAACTATCCCAAATTGCATAGGTACCAACTGTGAACTTACCCCTGTTTTTAAGTCTACTGAGAACCAATTTGGTACATATACCATCTTAAATCTTTTTTTAATTTCATCTTCAAAATCCACTTTGCCCAGATCTTCCACTTTACTTGCCTATACATAAAAAAGAAAGTATAATAATTAAGTGGCAACTTAATTTGATTCTGACTTAGCTACTCAAAATTTTACACATTTTCACATTTTGCCTATTAATATGGAGTCTAAAACATTTTTTAAAAAATGGTCAAACATTTTTATTTTAGAGCAGTTACCTTTAAATAACTATTACAATTTTAAATTAAAACCCCCCCACAAAATATTCGTTTTGGAGACTATAGCCTTACCTAATATTCACGTAAGAAAGTATCTACCCCCCAAATAAAGTATTATTGAAACGAAATCTTAATTTATATACTTATTATCTTGGTGTATATCTATCTATGTATCTACATCTATGTATATCTATATCATAAAAAATAAGTGGGATATATGAACCAGTATCATATATTTAATATAAAAGATACTCACCTTCAATACGTCCCAATATGCCACATTGTTATTGGTATCTTTTGTTAATATATGTCTCTTATCATTCAGAATGTGGCACTGAATAATACTGGCACCGCCTAAAGGAGAAGAACCCACACAATTAGCAGGACAATCCTTCCACTACATTTAAATTCACCGTGCGGCAATAACAGTGAACTGGTATCTAACAGAACATAAATCATACTAGCCCCCCAGGAAGAAGAAGGCAAATCAGAAGACTGTGTCATTATATCTAAGGCAATTTAAGGCCAATCAAACAAAAACAGTCTGGTTTTAATACAGATTATAGATTAAAAGAATCCTCACTTCAACACGGGGCTACTGGTTGAAACTGTTAAGGGCAGACAGTTTTACCCGCTGGGAAAGTCCAAATAATGACAGGAAACCTTTAAATGAGCCCCATCTCTCATCAACTTTTGCTTCCTATCTTCCTTCTCTTTATGCTCCTGCAGGAACATTGTTCTTGAATGTGTCATTCAATATTCTAATCCCAAGCTCTGACATTAAAGTCAGAGGTGCCATTACAGCTGTAGTCTGTAGAATTCTAGGACCAGAGTGGACTTTTCTGGCTTGTGCTAAAAGACAACACTAAACTCTATATATTTTTCAGAATGGCTGTTGGCTTTACCAAGGCCGTGACCATCCTGATGCTGGGTAAAAAGATTAATTAAAGAAAGCCCACATTTTGAAGTCACTAAATAGCAGTTTTTAAAAGCTTTCTTCTATTAAAAATAAATCAAAATGCTATTATGAGTCTTTTGTTGACATCAGAATTACATTTAAAGGAAGGTCATCTCCTCCATTTCTGTCAGTCTCTTAGTAACTACAATTAATCTCCACAAAAGGTACTAAATACCTTCCAGTTTCCTTACTCACCTTTAATAACCTGGTCAGGTTGTGTACAAAGGGGTGTTATAGGGTTTGTACAGTCATTGTCATAATCTCCAGAGGCTCTAAAGTTGTGAATTCCCTTCAATGTCTGAAGGAACAAAATTTATTATTTAGTCATTTTATGCTTTATAAGCTTTGCCAATCTGTTTAAAGTGGCAGGAAAAACAAAGAACAAACAAATGAGAACAACCCAACAATAAAACATCAGCCAAAAAATAGTGACAAAGTATGATTATCTACCATGATTTAAAAAACCCAAACGAACATTAAGAAGGGAATGTCTTTTTGGAGAGAACAGCAGGCATTCTTTCAGGTAAACTATGTTGATCGCAAATTAGCACAATGAAATTTAGACAAGAAATGTAACATTTGTTACAGTACAGAGACAGACCACTTGACCTGCATAATAAATAGGAATAAATATAAACACTTGTTCTTTTGTTATCCACGAACAGTCTGGTAAGAAAACTTAAAGTCTTCAATTAAGATTTAAGCATTAATAGTACTTTTGATGACTTCTCTCTGACCGTCCTCTTATTTCTCTCCCTGTTTTTCATACTATGAAGAAAAAGGAAATGAGTCTGAAAGCAGTTTTCGGTTTTGAGAAACAGAAGCCTAACCAGTTTCCCTGCTGTGCTGGTACTGGGCTGCCTCTTTTCAAATGCAGCTCCATGAGGTCAGAGCTGTACTAAATCTACTGGCTGTATCGGGCCACAGCTTAGGCATGTCACATATATTTCTTGGCTTCTGACAAAGACATCGAAGCGTCATTTGACCACTACCTTAATTTCTGTACAACCCTTAGGCCCGCACCTGCATTCATAGGGGCGTTTAGGTTTTTGCGCTGTTGAAAGGCATGCTGAGCCAGGCTCATACTGAGCATTGCTACTGGGTCTAATCCTTTATCAGCTTCTAATCCTTAGTCAGCTGTACAATGGCTCACTTACCCATTTATTTACTGTAGATTTCGTTGTTGCAACCCAGATTGCAGGAGGCGGATCAGCTGACCTATCAAGCTCCATCTGAGAACAACACACAAAAATACCGCGGTGTGGAATGCTGATTCTTCTGAGCTGCCAGGACCAGCTCTACATTATTAAATAACTCCTCCATTCAGCACTGTGTGTTGACTATACCATGGCACGTGTTAAAAGCTAGGGATTCAACAAATGAATGAGGGAGTCTGTGCTAAAGAAATTCATGACCCTATAAAAGTGTAGCAGCAGTGACTTCTCACCAAAAAGAATGGCTTAAAGATTTAAGTGTGGTTAATTTAAGGCAGGGGTGGGGAACCTTTTTTTCTGCCAAGAGCCATTTGGATATTTATAACATCATGTGAGGGCCACACAAAGTTATCAACTTAAAATTAACCTGCTATATTTGGTCAAACATTTAATTAACTCACACCTAATGCCTCAGCAGGGCCAGACCCAATGATTTGCGGGCCTTACATGGCCTGTGGGCTGGACGTTTCCCACCCCTGATTTAAGGGATCTAAACGGGCACAGGCCAAAGGAGACTTAATAGAATTTTTTTATGTTCTTAATAACAAAGAAATGGATTTATTTTTCTCTTTGAAAATGTTAGTAGTAAAAACATAGCATAGCAAAAGTGAAAAGTACCCCACATAATCTACCCCCTCACCCAAGGATAGTGCACTTGTGAACAGTTTACTGTGTGCCCTTCTGTATTTTTAAAATACTAAATGTATGCCTTAGCTGGTTTGGCTTAATGGATAGAGCGTCAACCTGCAGACTAAAGGGTCCCAGGTCCAATTCCGGTCAAGGGCACGTGCCTGGGTTGCAGGCTCGACCCCCAGTGGGGAGCATGCAGGAGGCAGTCAATCAAAAATTCTCTCTCATTATTGATGTTTCTATCTCTCTCTCCCTCTCCCTACCTCTCTGAAATTAATAAAAATATATTAAAAAAATACTGAATGTATAAAATATATAAATGCCCATATATCATGCAACGGGAATCACTCTGCATTAGCCCACTGTTCTTCCTGTACCAGGAAACCGCAGGACTGGAGCTGCGGGGACAGGGCCCGACTCTTAGCAAGCCGGGATCCTCTTCAGTCCAGAGTGACGCTCCTTTTAACACACGGCTGTCTGCGCTAAGGTCTTTTTCTCCAGCCAAGAGACCCTGGCAGCTGCAGGACCCACAGCGCAGTGTTCCTCTTCCCCACCTGTCACCCCATCAGCTGCTTCCTGCACACATGCTGTGTCTGTGATAGCAGCCCTAACTCGCTTGCTGTTCTCTAAAGCATTACTGGTTTGTCCATTAGGACGTGCCCTCTACCTTAGAGAACTGCACTCAGCCAGACCACAGGCATCCTCTCAATGTCTCCTCGACCTCTGTTCCCTGTTGCAGCCCTTCCTCCTATGCTGGTCTGGGTGTCAGATGTCACTCAGCTTCACAGATGGGTATTTGCAGTTGTTACTTGCTTTCCCTGATGTTTGCAGATGATTTCTGAGAAGACAGGGCAGTCTGTCTGTATGCTCCCTTTGAAAGTTCCTCGCTGTGTTTCAGTGTGCAATTCTAGGACTATCAGTGAGGCTGGACATCTGTCCCGTGATGCCTGGCCATTTTTTAGCCTAGGCTCTACTTCTAATAGCTGTCAATATGGATGGCTTCCCAAGTACCCATGCACCCACATCCAGACCCCGATCAGGACCACTCCGAGCAGTCACGTGTAGGGTGAGCGAGCTCATTCCCTCCTCCCGAGGAGTGCTCCTCCACACCCTCCCTCCCTCTTGAGCAGTGGACAATTTCTGCTTACAGATACCTGAACTCCTCATATTCCTCCTCTAATGACAGGTTAAGACAGCCAGGCGCTCTCAGGAGCAATGTAACAATCTTAATTATATAAACTAAAATATATGACATACTGCCCTGGTTGACCGGTGTGGCTCAGTTGGTTGGAGTGTCGTCACTTGCACCAGAAGGTGGTGGGTTCGATTCCCAGGCAGGGCACACACCCAAGTTTCGGGTTCGATCCCTGGTCGGGTCGCATACAGGAGGTAACCAATCAATGCTTCTCTCTGATGTTGATGTTCTTTTCTCTCTCTCTCTCTTCCTTCCTCTCAAATCAATTTAAAAAATATATATCACATACCTTGAGAACTGGTGCCTTTTCTTCACAAATCAGCACTCGAATGTCAGGGTTTCTTAGGTCTGTACAATAAATCTTCCGGTCCCTCCCTCCAGAATACACGTGTGTGAAGGCGTCATTGACTTGCAGAGCCCAAACACCTTCATCATGGACTCGGTACGTCGCTATACATCTCTGCTGACCGAGGGACCACAGGCGAATTGTCCCATCAGAACTGCCAGAAAGACACTGGGAACAAAGAAAGTAAAGGTTGGAGATCTGTCCGAAAGCTCCTGTGCTCTGCCCAGACTTCTCTCCTGACGCCACATTGTCAAGCACACACCCCTAGCAACCTGTATTTCTGCCTCTGAAAAGTGGCTTGATCCAGGTATGTTGACACCAATCAAAATAATTGCTATGTGACGGACCTCAAATCCTAAGATTTGCTGACTAAGGATCTTACGCTACAACAAAGGAAGTGAGGCAATAGGTTGCTGTCCATGATATTCACTGGCCTATTATACATCACTAGAGGCCCGGTGTATGAAAATTCATGCGCTGGAGGCGGGTGTCCCTCAGCCCGGCCTGCCCCCTCTCACAGTCTGGGAGCCCTCAGGGGCAGGAGGTGATCCGGCGATCAGGGGAAGGCAACACCCCATTACACCTTGCTGCTGCCACTGCCGGCAGCGCAAGCCTCGGCTGGCCCTGGTTACCTGTGCCTTGGGCCGGCCCTGGGCGGCTGGGGGTTTAGGGGACTAGGGATCTCCAGAGGCAGGCCACATGCCTGCCGCCCTGGTGGGGCTGAGGGGACTGGGCACTGCCATCTTGTGGCTGTGGGCACCGCCATCTTCGAGGGTGTAGCAGTCAATTAGCATATTCCCTTCTTATTGGCTGTGGGCGCCACCATCTTTACAATGGCGTGAGGGTCAATTAACATATTCCCTTTATTAGATATGATAAGTCCTTGAATCACAATGCCACCAGAGACCCAGCATTAGAAGCTTGCAGAATTCTCAAGGATGCAAAATAAACTCTGGTCCAGTAACTGATATCTAGCGCTTCTGTCTCAAACAAGAGTTTGACAATCAGTAGCTGACTTTAGTGAAGTGCACTGACTTGTATTTAAGTCATCTTGGTTTTAAAAAGCACATTCATAAACGTATATATAGAAACAAGGCATGGAGTGTAGCAGTCAGGAGGATCTTCAGCAAGTCTGCCAGGCCCAGGGCCCTCTTCTGGAAACCATCGTGTCTACAACCCGTATGTAAGGGCAGCCCCATGGAGACCATACGACCCAGGCAACCTGGACAAAGCTTAGAGAACAAGGCCTGGCACCCATCTCCCACGCAGCCCAGCAGCTACACTGCAAAACCTGAGCAGCTGACTGCACTAGGCTTCTTGACTCACATGAAAATGGGGCTGCAAAGGGTTCAAGGGCTCTAAAAACCCAGGGATTACGACAAGAACATATTCATTATTTCTAATCTTCTCACCTACTACACAAACTAAATATGATTCCCACTTTGCAGATGAGCTAACTACGGACCAGGATGAAGTCCTCTCCTCCAGGCCACTCAATGCATTAACACTGAGTGCCTTCTACATTTCTAAGCCTCTCTTTGTCTGGCTCTGGAAAGTGATTTCCTTCCTTTGGTTAGTTTTTCAAATCTTTCTTTCACCTTTGGAGACAAAAAGGTTTCTCTAATTCACTTGTGAGGCAATTTTCATGATGTAATTTCCACAGAAGTAATAGAATTATGGTGTTTCTCATCTCATAATTTTTCTACTCTCCCTTTTCTAGCTCCATCACAATCAATTAATTCCAATTAGCTGTGAACTTATCCCTGCCCCATGAAAAAATGGCTGGGGGAGCAGGAGTAAGTGGTAGTGGAATAAATGGTGCTTAGTTTTCGTTTTTTATCTACAATGATGAAAGATCGTTTTTTCAAAATTGGGGTTATTATATGTACAAATTAATATTTTAAGGATTTAAAATTAATCCACAGTTTATAATATATGCAGCTTTGTTCAATCAGTGTACGCAGCAGTTCACTAAGTGGGGGGATTTCTGTTGTATGAAACGTTGGCAAAGCTATTAGGTCAATGCCCACGCGAAGCCACGTACCTGGGTGCCGTCTCTGTTCAGCAGCAACGCTTTCACATTATCCGTGTGCCCTTTAAGCTTCATCAGTTTTGCACATGTTCTTGGGTCCCATACCCTTAAAACCTGTCAATTTTAACAAAATATTACATAAACTGAGTACATCCACGATCAAATTTCAATAACAGATGACTTTTATAAATCAAATGACAGCCACTAAATTCTGAGAAAAAAACATTGCTTCTGCCAACAGACACTGTCTAAGGCTTCCTTTTCAAGTGGGAGGAAGCCTCTTTAATGTCAAAACATGAACAGGCCTTTCCCACCCCGTCCACCCACCCCCATTACCACACACGACAGTAATTACACAGTTACGCTCTTATCTGTTCAAATAAAACCTTTCTTTTAGCATTCCACCAGGCAAAACCACTGTCTATATGGCTAGTAATGACACAGATCAAATTATTTTGGTTTCTTTGTTTTCTAGAGTTAAGGTACACCCTTTAAGCTCCCCCTTACCTTCTCAGTGGACCCTGATACAATGATTGTTCCCAGTTGATTCATTGCCAGGCTATAAATGGAATCTTTGTTCCCACTTAAAGAAGAAGCTATTAAGGATAAATGGAGCTACATGTTAACAAAATTACCAGATGTTTAGTAGCTAGTCAGCAAAAATTGCAGGCTTAATTATTCAATTTTAAAAATCTTATCTTTATAAGTGCTCTAAAGAAATCTATAACAGAGATATCAAGTTTTACATCTTTTCTGGATTTGAGTATACACAAATGCTCAATAAATATTTGCTAAATTGAACTGCACTGCCATTTAAAACCTATCCACATAAGTAATATATTTTCAAAGATATACATGTACCACTGAGGTATATGAAAAATATGTCCAAACTCACTATTTCAAATAAACAAAAATACTATTTTCACCAAATCAGATTAAAAAGAAAACAACAAGGTAATATTCAATTATCAGAAAACACAGTAAAACGGCACTCTCACACACTGCTTGTGGGAGGACAATGTGGTACAACTCTTCTGGAAGGAAACCAGGCAACATGTACAAGAATCATGCTCAGGCCCTTTGATTCAGAACAAAATATCACTGAAGTGAAAAAAAAAAGCATATAAAACTATATAGTATGATGCCAATTTTACAATAAAGAATAATATATGTAAAGTATTTAGAAAAGTAACTGCTTGTAGGAGTGCTCAATAAATGTTAGCTATTAGTATTTCTATAATCACAAAAAACTATGTGAGGTCCTCTCTCAACTACTCTAAGCCAAGACATATCTGTTGGAGAATCTGTAACCACTAAGCCTAGTCTCTGACCTTGAGACCATCCTGCTGTTTTGCTTTGTTCCGTGTTGTTAGTGTCTCTTTGAGGCAGGACTTCCATCTACAAAGAGCTAAATGGATCATGATAGCCTCAGCAGGGACCAGCTACTGAAGCACTGAGAGAGTGTACAGGTGGAAAATCAAGAACAAGGGGAGAATAGTGTTTAGACCTTCACATATCTCCCAGGGGGAAAAAGCAAAACAGTATTAAAAAAAATCATAAACACCAGCCTCCCAACTTGCCCCTCTTGGCTCATACTAGGTTTTATTAGAACTGCCCTGGCTATGTCAGTGTGAGTGTTCCACAGTCATGACAAACTGAATCTGTAACACAGGGATCTAGATAGTTCAAGTCCACGTCCTGAACACAGACCTTCCAGGCCAGGCTTCGCCAAAAAATGTGCTCCTTAGAGTCCCGTCTGACACCTGGCCTGCAGGACTCTAGTAGACTGTGCCAAGCATGAGGCTGAGTTTCAAGTTTAGACTTGGATGGGTCTGACCTGGTCATCCGAGATCTCTTAGTTGAAGAGGCATCCATGCTATTAACCTGCTGCGAATGTTCTGAATCGCCTCTCGCAGCACCCTAGCCTCCCTGAACTCCTCTAGAATTGGCTGGATTCTTTGGGCTGCTCTAAAAAGGTCCTGCAAAATTCGCACTCAAAACCTTTTCTTTCCTTGCTTTGGGTATTTTCCATCTGGGCCATTAACTCAAAGGTTCTTAATATACAGTCACACTTTTGAAAGTCAGAAACTGCCTACTTTGCCAGGTAGTTACCACCTCCATCAACAGTATCTGCTGCGTGTGGCTTTGGCAGCGAGGCTGTGGGAGATACAAAGGAGTAGTGAGACAGACGCTGCTGCCTGCAGGCGCCCAGGCTGCAGCTGGGGATCTAAGACATGCACATGAAAGCTGACACTTGGAGAAGCGACCACTTCAGATGCAGCGAGGAACTAGCTCCTTGGCCAAGCACACTCTTGGGGGCTAGAACGCTGGAGGTAGAAGCACTCTCTAGATATGAACCACTGTCTCAATACAAACTTATCCAAAATATTTTATAAACCATTCTTTGTTTATGTCAACTTGGAGCACTTTTAAAGACATTTTTTTCAAACTCCTTACTTGTGACAGTGTTATTTGAGGCAGTCAGTGCTGTTAGAGTATTCACATCCCAAAGGAATATTTGTCTGTCCAACCCAGCCGATGCTACCAGTTCTTTATCCTTGGCATATGCTAAGGCCTTTACATAATCCTGTAACAGAACACACGTACTATGATCTACACTGTAGATCCATAAGAAAATGAGCCACTTAAAGTACTGAGACCCCAATATTACACTAAAGACACTGAAAATTGAAATATTATGTTAGCTCTTTTACCTTATGTGTCCTTAATGTTGACATACAAAATCCCTTATGTGCATTCCATACTTTTACTGTCGTGTCAGAAGAAGCAGATATTACTAGAAGAGGCAAAGAATTAACGAACACTTTAGTGGTATATACTTCAATATTTATAATATTCCTAATATTAATTCAAACATCTGTTCATGTTTATACACACATATAGTACATATATAATCTAAAAGCTTTTTCTCGCCCTAGCTGGTTTGGCTCAGTGGATAGAGCGTCGGCCTGCAGACTGAAGGGCCCCAGGTTCGATTCCGGTCAAGGGCACATGCCAGGGTTGTGGGCTCAATTCCCAGTGTGGGGCATGCCGGAGGCAGTCAATCAAGATTCTCTCTCATCATTGATGTTTCTGTCTCTCCCTCCCTCTCCCTCCCTCTCTGAAATCAATAAAAATTTAAAATATACATATTTAAAAGCTTTTTCTAGAACCTATTGTATTCTGCCTCAAAATTTTATTGTTTTAATAGCTAAGGCAAATATTTTTTAAAGTTCCAGTTGAACTAATTTGATTGGGAAAATTTCTCTAACACAGACTGAAAAACCAAGAAATGGATCCTACCATAATAAGAACAGAAAGAGATATTAATAAGGTTAAAAGAAGAATACATAGTATATGAGTCTATTTATATAGACAGTTCAAATGTAGGCAAAACTAATCTATAGTGTTTAGAAGACAGTGGGGCAAGGGATAGTGACTGAAAGGGTGGCACGGGGCGGGACACTTCTGGTAATCTGTTTCTTATATGGGTGTTCACCTTGCAAACTTGTACTCTCGAAGTGTGCGTGCTTTTCTGTATGTATGCTATATTTTAATAAAAAGCTTACATGAAAAATGAAAAAAATACATCAAATTAAATGAGAAGCTTCCTGAAGCCCAATAATCAAAGAAATACTTACATGTTTTCCCATTACAACAGAGTACAATGTCGTTTACCCAATCGGTATGGTGCTCCATAGATGCTATGTATGGGTCTTGCTGAAATTAAAAGAAAAATCACAGGATATCATTAGCTTATCTTAGAGAATGAACTGTATTACAAATTATAGATATGTTTAGATTCTTCAATTAGTGTGACACACTGCTCTATGACCTTAAAATCTAGCGCCCAAGAGTTGATGCTTCCAGATAACATGTGCATAGAAGTTTTGTTTCAGGACAGTTTTATTACTGATAAAAGCCTAGGTTTCCAGGACAAATGCTTAATTTTTATGCCTTGAGTCAGTGAAGGCAACAGCGCTAGAGGAAGGCGTTACTGGAAAGGACAGGGCATGAACCCACCTGCAGGCTGGGGGGTATGAATCAGTGGTGCCGAGGGCTCACAGCACACAGCAGGGGCAGAAACGAGGCGGCCAAGTGGTGAGGAGCCCAGCCCGCTGCAGAGGGAGATGGACTCTTTTGCTTTTAGCTTCTCCTGTGGTGTTTACCTTCTGAATTAAGTGTTTTCCTCAGTTATCTACGGTCCTTCCGAGAAGAAATGGAAGCCAAGGGCTAAAGGAGTGCTACCCGGTCACCATTTCAATTCAGTAATTTGAGATTCTCCTATTCCTCTCGCTTGGCTTAATTACCAAGCCAAGTATTTAGTTACATCCTACACCTAAGACAGGCAAGTTCAAGAAACTCCCTGGCAAAGAGAACAAGTCTATTTGAGAAACGCTATTCAATCCTGTCATAAAACGAAGATCAGAAAAAAGATGTTTAAGGGCAGCATAGGCAGCTTTCTAGATTCTTCCAGGTTAGTTTTTGTGACTGTTTTCCCGTAGTTTGTGTGAAATGCAGTACTGTTAATTCCCAGAAAGGTGACATTCCAATTCAAACGTTAAGTTTCAAAAAGCACTTAAAAGCCACGATTTTCTTCCTTCCCATGTCTCTGACATTGGGCCACCTCTGTGGCCACTGTTTAAAGAATCCAAAGCTCACGAGACCAAAATCCATTTAAAGAAACGTCATCTAGAATGGATTAGAAAACTGTGGTACATCTACACGATGGAATACTATGCTGCTCTAAAAAAGGAAGGAACTCTTACCATTTGCAACGTCATGGATGGAACTGGAGAGCATTATGCTAAGTGAAATAGGCCAGTCAATGAAGGAAAAATACCACATGATCTCACTCATTCATGGATAATAGAGACCATTATAAACTTTTGAACAATAATAGATACAGAGGCAGAGCTGCCTCAAACAGATTGTCAAACTGCAGCGGGAAGGCCGGGGAGGGTTGGGGGGCAGGAGGTAGGGGGGTAAGAGATCAACTAAAGGACTTGTATGCATGCATATAAGCATAACCAATGGACATAAGACACTGGGGGATAGGGGAGGCTAGGGGACTGTCTAGGGCGGGAGGATAAAATGGACACATATGTAATACCCTTTGTAATACTTTAAGCAATAAATAAAAAAAAAATAAAGAAACGTCATCTAGCAAGTGTGCAAAATAGTGGGTCTTTTTTGGACTGAACATCAGACTTGCGGAGCTTGCTAGGAAGACACAGACTTTAAAACCATAAGGATTAGCACCAGGGCTTCAAGTCAGAGGGGCTCTAATTCCCTGTCACCTACCAGCTACTTAACCATGGATCTCTGTGAGCCTGTTTTCCCGTCTCCGAACACGAACCGTAACAGCTGCCTCGAAGGAGGACTGTGAGAATTAAGACCATCTTGGATATGAAAGTGCTAAGAGTGTCTGGTACACAGCTAGGAGCTCAAGAAATGTCCTTTTCTTCCCCGAATCTGCCTATGTCATTCACAATACAGACATTTAAACAACACAGAAAAAGAATTCCTTGCAATTTGACAGGATTTGTCTTCACATGTGTTTAAATACTGGTCCGTTTAAGAAAGCAGGCTTTAAATCTGAAGAAGGGCAGCAGGTTACCTTCATACTTTTACGACAACCTTGAAGAAATCTAATATTTGTTCAAGATTAGTTATCATTGTAAAAGCAGAGTCAACCTTTTCTTAAGGGCAGTGAAAAGGGTGGCCAAGAAGCTTTTTGGGAACGTAGTTACAGTAGAAAAATAAATTGTTGCAAGTAATTCCTCTACCAGACAAATCTCTTTATGTCTTTCTTATCAGAGGCCTAGTTTTATGGCGTCCCTGCCTTATCTGAAATACTTCGGAAACTCCCCTAGGGGTGTTTTTCCCAAGGGCTCACAGAAAGCTGGCTGCATGCCTTTACAGAGTGTACCAAGCAACGCAGTGCTCAGAGATTCCAGCGGGAACTCCGGAAGGCCTGCCGTAGGCGAGCACAGTTTTCGGAGGATGGCTTTCAAGTGTCCACTCGACCCCTGCCTTACCTTGTGCTGATTGACGCTCCATATCCTTATGATGGAGTCTCGACCGGCCGTGAAAAGCCTGTTGAGGGCCGGGTCCAGCTGCAGGGCATTGACTCCGTTCCGATTGTACTTCTCCACTTCATCGCGAATCACATAGGAAACCTGACAAACGAGTGGACATTTGCTTTTTACGAAGTGACAGAACATGCAGTAAAAGGCAGCCTACTGGCGGCAGATCTGAAATGCAACATCCCATGTTTTCCGTATAAAACTTATTTTTCAATCCAATAACAATTTTATTTTACTCTATAAAAGAGTGAGGAGCTGAGGAGAGAAGAATGACATTACTAGCGGCCTCGTCCAAGAGGAGGCGGGCTGATGCTGAGCTACGATAACCGCTTCCGAACGGGCCTCCCACACGCTGCGGTTTGTCTTTAATCCATTCCCCACAAAGCAGCAAAACTGGAGTGTGTCTCACCTCTGCTCAAAACCCTCTCCGGTGCCTGCTCTCCCAGACTCACGATTTGGCCAGGACTCCTCCACACGCTGCAAGTGCCCTGCTCACCTCTCCTGCCACTCTCTTTGCTCACGCTGCCCCCACTGCCTTGAACACACCTCCTTGCACACAGAGCACCCCATGTCCTGGTCCCTCAGGTTGGAAGGCCTTCCTCCCCTCTCTCTGGCCAATCCTGCTGCAGTCCTTAGGGTTCTGTTTAATGCTTCCTCAAAAAGCTGTTCGCCGACCCGGCGAGCAAATGAGTCTTGTGTCCTTTAACACACCAAACTTCTCCTTCTGAGCACTTTCCACTATTTTGTTACTGTCAGTCAGTTCTGTCTGCTTCATGTGAAACTCAAGAGAATCAACCAGTTACAATTATGAAAAAGTCAACAAACTGGCCAGCAGCCAAAAGCAAAACTTTTCTAATTTAATGAAATAAACTGTTAAGAATAGAACAGGAGGTTCGGGGGGGGGGGCGGGGGAGGGGGGGAGACCTATTTACAACAGCAACAAGAACGAATACCTAAAATAACTGACAGAACAATGTACATAAAAGAAAAACTTGAATAAAGGAGGTGCCATATTATAGCACAGGAAGATTCCAAATTAACAACTGTTTCCTAAATTTGTGAATCTAGGAAACCCAACTTTGGCCAGAATCCCATGGAATTGCTTTCTAGAAGTTGAAAAAATATATAGTATAATGTTTTTGTGTGTGTGTGTGTGTGTGTGTGTGTGTGTGTAATATCCAGATATTTTAAAAAATGAAAGCATATTCTTTAAAGATCTTAAAAGGTTTTATAAAGCTAAAGCTACCAAAATTACAATGAAGTACCACAATAGGAATATATTTAAAAAAATCAATGGAATAAAACAAAATCTGGAAATATTTTTTCTATTATAAATTTTTATTTTGATGTAAACATGGTGTTTCAGATCAAAGAGGGCATGATAATTACTAAATAATAAATTATCTAGGAGCATCTAGAGATTCTATTGGGAAAAATTATATATCCTTTTTCCAAATCTTAAATCAAAATGAATTTTCATGTGGACTTAAGATTGAAATAGAATAATTTACTCATAAAAATACATTTTAAAAGACAGGTGAATATTTACATAAAACTACTTTGAGAAGGCCCTGCTAACATGACAAGAAACACAGTAATCTTTACAAAGGAAAAGAGCAATGCTGATCTGACCAAATACAAGTCAAAACCTTTTGCATGTACAAATGTTCACTGCAGCATTATTCACAAGAGCCAAAAAGTGCAAACAACTCAAATGCCCATCAACTGACAAAGAATAAACAAAATGTGGTATATGCATGCAATGGAATATTTTTCAGCCATAAAAGGAGTGAAGTACAGACACATATTATAATGTGAATGAATCTTAAAAACATGGTAAGTGAAAGAGGCCAGTTATAAAATGGCTCATATTTTAGGATCCTATTTATTCTAAATGTCCAGAATATGTAAATCCACAGAGACTGAAAGTAGATTAGTGGTTGCCATGACCTTGGAAGAGAGGAAAATAGGGGGGACTATTTATGGGCTTAGGGTTTCTTTTTGGGTTGATGAAAAATGTTCTGGAATTGGGTGATCAATGCACAACTCTGTGAATATATTAAGAAATCATTGCATCGTATACTTTAACAGGGTGACTTTATAATATGTGAATTTTATCTCAGTAAAGCTGTTACTTTTTAAAAAAGGCTTTCTGAAAAGAATAGTATGAGCAAGGTTAAAGGGCAAACATCTAACTGGGAAAATAATGAAATAAATACCACTACACAAGACAAAAGTTTAATCTTGACTACATACAAAGATTCCTTACAACACATTAACAACATGTCAAACTCTCCAACAGAAAGAGGAGTAAAGATCATGAAGAGGCAATTTTTTTTTTTTTAAATGGCCAATGAACATAAATAATCAATGACATGAAAAGGGCTAGAGTTGTATACATGAAGACAGCAAGGATGTTGTCTTAACTCAGTCCTTTGGGTACAAGTAATGTAGCTGAGATCTACTCAAGCCTGCTTAAGTTGAGAAAAGAAACATGTTAACACAAGGATACAAGGTATCTAACAGCCCAGGGGCAGGAAATACAGTTATGACTCACAAGACATTTAAAAATAAAATCATGACACTTCTCTGCTGAAGCCTTCCAAAGGCTTTTTTTCACTACATTTAAAGTTCAGATTCCCCACATGCTTCCTGAGTCTTCATACTCTCCTCAAACTAACTCTCCCCTCCCCGCCCCCCAGCTCCTTTCATGGTAGTCACACCAAACGCCTGATCCTCAACACATCGAGCTTTCTTCTTCCCATCCCTTCCCATCCACTGTCCCCCATGCTGAGAAGATCCCCCCTCTCCAGTCCCCACAGGCACTCTTCCCCAGCTTCTACCTTGTCTGGCTCACCTTAACCCTTCTGGTCTTGGCAGAAAGGTCACCTCCTCTCGAAGGCCTTCCCTGATCTCCACCCTCTATCACTTACACTACTTATTTCTCTCACAGTTCTTACCACACTCCACATTTATCTTTTTTGTGACATCTTCTTCATTCTAATGTTGCAAGAGATCAAGAAACTTGTCTGCCGTGTTCCTCCCACCACTCATTATAGTGTCTGGCATAGAAGACATTAAATAAATATTTGTTGCATGAATCAGATATTAGAAAACCATCAGGAACCAAGTTGGCGTCAATGTCAATTTCAGTCTCTCTCGATCTCTCTCTCTCTGGGGCTTTATGACCCCTTATTTGCTTTTCTCCATACATTTCCTTTAATAGAGACTCTGTAGCAAGTACATCTTAATTTTCAGATTTCTCGAGATTATCTGATTGGTCCAGTGGGGAAGGGTCAGGTCCTCATTTTAGGTAGAAAGTAATTTTTAGCAAACAAGCCTGGGCCACTTCTTCAAAGGTATCCACCACAGATGCGCGATTAAAAATGGCAAAGAATTAGAAGTATCTTAATTGGATAAATTTTGGCACATCCATAAAACAGAATACTATTTAATCATTAAAAATGTTGACGCACATCTAGAATGAATGACATGGGAAGACAGCCATGCTATATTTAAGTGAAATGTGTGTGGCCTAACACAGCTGTGTATAATAATCATTACTGTAAAAATGTTTCAGAATATTAAGTACATATTTAAAAAATACATATACAAGTTTGGAAAGACATGCAAATAAAAAACTATCCCGAGTAATGGAATTATGGTGACTGTCACTCACGCCTTTTTTATATGGTATGAATGTTTTACCATGGGCATGTATTACTTAGTTTTTTGAATTTATAATTTAATTTTTGTCTAAGTAATTCTTGCCTATACTCAGAATATGAAATACTGAAAGACTGTAATGAAAAATCACATACCTATTGTCTGTGTAATACTCCCCATACCAGTCTTATTCCCTAGGAGTAACTAATTTCAACTCTTGGTTTCTTCTGGATAGTTACTGCATTTCTTGAAATATTGTGTTTATTCTATAGCTTTCCGTTTATCCATTTTAGATTCACCTATTTACTCAGGCTACGGTAGATTAGGATGTAACTCTGAAACTACCCCAATAACCCCTCCCTCTCCTCTTCTGATATAGATGCATCGCTATTTTTGGTTGAATAAATAATCAGTGCTACACTGTTTGACTTTGTAATTGCTCTCTGCCGACTAGCTAGGTACTATATTATGAATACATTTCCTTCCTCGGAGAGCTTTTTCTTTTCCCTAGAGTTCTATCTTTCTCCCCTTCTTCTACTGGGTTTCCTCTACTTTAAGTTCAATTTTCTTTAATTGCTGCACCATGTTAGATATTACAGCAAGAACCACCCCACCCCCTTCCCCAGGCTTCCCCCTCAGCATCCTCCACCTTGCACTCAGTCTGGGCTGGCTGCCCTCTAGGTCTGCTGGCACAGCCTCATCCCCTGTGCCTCCCTTTACTGCTTTTCTGGGCTACAGCCATTGTTTCCTGAATTCCAACGTCTCCCTTCTTGGTTTACTCCGTTTACTCCCACCCTCTCCGGCAACGGAGATCCCTTTCATGCCTCAAACCTGACTTCTGCCAGCTGCAGAACCTTCTTTGCTTTTAAGGGCTAATATGATTAGACTGGACCCACTTGGATAATCCCGGATAACCCTCTATTTTAAGGTCTGTAACCTTAATTATGTCTGAAAAGTCCTTTTTATCACGTAACATAACATATTCACAGGTTCCAGGGATCAGGGCATGGCATTTTGGTGGGGAGGCACTCTGCCTACTACAGTAACGAAACAATGTTTTATGTGAAAACAAATGTGGATATATTATGGAATAAGTACAAAATTCACAATACTTTTAAGAAAAGAAGGGAGGTTCTGAAAGCATTTCTGGTTCACAAAGGGAATATTCTGGGCTCTTTCCCCAGGCTCCCCTGAGGTGTGTGTGCATGAACTCATCTCCTCTTGGGTGCCTCACACACATCGTAATCACGGCATGTTCCAAGCCCAACTCTTGAGAGTCCTCCCCAAAATAGCTTTTCCTGGTCTTCCTCACTGATGGAGTTAATGGTGACTTCCTTCTTCTAGCTGCTCAGGCGCAAAACCTTGGTGCCTTCCTGACTTTAATTCCAAGCACTTCTCAGGAGCCTGGTGGGCCATCATCACATAGCATCTGGCCTCCTCTCTCTGCCCTGTGCCCCCACAGGAGGTTCTGAACACAGAAGCCAGGCCACCCTTATTAAAACACATGTATATCCTGAATATTCCTCTGCTCAAAACCCACCAACTACGTCCCATGGCACTCTAGACCTCACTATGCCCTGGTGCTCTGTCTACATGGTCCGGTCTGCAGTTACTGCTCTGATTTCATCTCTGGCTCCTCTTCCCCTCACTCACTCCATGCCAGCCACAAAGGCCTCTTCATTCCACAAACGGGCCAGGAACATTCCCACTCAGGACCTTTGCATCTGATATTCTCACTGGAATGCCCGCCCCTTCCATGGCACTCTCGTTTCCTCATTGCTTTTGGATCCTTACTCAGAAGTCAGCCTCTCAGCAAGGCATTCTCTGGCCACTGCAACTGAAATTTCACTTCCTCATCTTCTGCTGCTCATCACTATCTAACTATTGTTTAACCTTTAAAACTTATTTTCTCTCAGCCTTTTATTATGAAAAAGTTAAAACATGCCGAAACCGGTTTGGCTCAGTGGATAGAGCGTCGGCCTGCAGACTGAAAGGTCCCAGGTTCGGTTCCGGTCAAGGGCATGTACCTGGGTTGCGGGCACATCCCCAGTAGGAGATGTGCAGGAGGCAGCTGATCAATGTTTCTCTCTCATCGATGTTTCTAACTCTCTATCTCTCTCCCTTCCTCTCTGTAAAAAATCAATAAAATATATTTTAAAAAAAAAAAAGTTAAAACACAAAAGTCGAAAGAATTATACAGCAAACATTCATATACCTGCCACATATATCTATTCTACAATTAACATTTTCTATAGTTGCTTTACCTCGTAACCATCTATTCATTTGATCCATGTTATTTTTCAATGCCTTTCAAGGTAAGTTGCACATCATCAATAACACTCCCCCCTAAATACTTCAGCATATATATTATTAACTAGAGTTCATTATTTATTCATGGCTCCTTTTTTAAAAAGATAAACTTTACTTAGAGTGAAATGTACAGATCTAAGTGTACATAGATACTTCTGACAAATGAATATACCTGTGCAATACAACACCTACTAAGATACATTGAACATTGCACCACCCTAGCAAGTTGCCTCATCCTCGTCCCCCACCTCTATACCCCACTCCCAATCTAGATCTGATGCTTTCTCCATAGATTAGTTTTGCCTGTTCTGTAATATCCTATAAATGGAATCACACAGCTCTTCTATATAAGGCTACTTCTAGCTATCAAGCTAACTCAGGCTAAATTTGGCCAAGAAAAACTGGCTAAATATCAATAATTCTCACATCTGTTTTTCCTGCTCAATCTTGTGGACCATGGCTTTCTGCTTGAACCTATATTTTTGGAGTGTTAATTTTAAAAAGATTCTGAAAAGCAGTCTTGCCTGACTTTTCCTACTCATTGGCTAGTAAAAAACTGTCCTCGGGCCAAATCCTGTTTAGTAAACAAGGGTTTACTGGGACACGGTCACACCGATGCATTTAGGTATTTTCTATGGGTGGTTTCACATTATAATGGCAGAGGTCTGGTTATGACACAGAATGGCCTCCAACGTGTAAAATTCTTACTATCTGGCCCTTTGGAGAAATTTTGCAGACCCCTGTTCTATACTGACACCACAGTTCTAATTACCCATCCTGCATAAAAAGTAACTCAGATATGGCTAATTGTAAGGGTCTTTTCTTGAGGAGCCAGGATTTGGCATCATTCTACTTCCTTTAAAAAGTATCAAAGATTAATCAACCAACCCAGAATTGGGACTCAAAATCAGGACTCAACACCATACTGAGCTCTGAATAGGTGTAGAATAACTAAATATTTAGCAGGGAAAAGAGTTAAGTACTGGTAGAATAGGCATTTGTTGGCTGTCTCTCTATCCCTCACTTCTGCTCCCAGTGTTTTTTCCTCAAGGCAAGCAACTTCTAGGAGAAACCAGACAGGGACTATTTAAGAGACTCTTATCTGCCAACTGATAGTGTGGTGAAAGGAGACAAGGTCTGGGTTAGAGACAGCCACCATGCCACCAAGAGGGGAGGCCTAGAGCTGGAAGTTTGGGAATAGGAGAGGACCGGCCCGTGGTAAAGCTGACTTTACATCACTTCCTAGGGTAGAGTCACAGTGAGCTCTCTGGTTCGAGATTTGCATGCAACTAGCACTGCCTATTGAGCCTGGTTGAGTTGGAGTCATTTCCAATCAAAATAATTGTTATGAAAGAGCAAGTATTTATATTATTGAATGATCACTAAGTATTACAGCTAGTTGCTGCTCTTAAACCAGGAATACTAGTGACTTTTGTCCAACCCCCCGCCCCTGCACCCCCAAGAATTCTGAAGTAAATGAGAGGAGGCCGTATTGAAGGAAGGATGGAGACAGAGCCAACCAACAGACTCAGGTTGTTGGAAAATCTTAACACTAAGGGACCACCAGGGAGTGAAAAGACTGGCTTTGACATCTTGATTACCAGAAAATAACTGCATTATATATCTGAATTCACATGTTTGATTGTCTGATCATGTAAGTCGGGTATACGTGCATGAAGTGTTACGAAACACTGGTTTTCAACCAGTGGCAATTTTGCCTTCCAGGGGTCATTTGAAAATGTTTAGAATCATTTTTGGTTTTCACAACTGGGAAGGTGCTAACATCTAGTGGGAAGATGCAAAACTTACAATGCATAGGACAACACCTTCCCCGCCTAAAGAATTATCCCGCCCAAGATGTCAGTAACACTCCTGGTGAAAAACCCTGGTCTAAGATTGTATGTCACACTGTCCATAGTTTTCTTTGAAGAGTGGAGGACAATTATCATTTATACTTTTGTACTGTTTGTGGGTTTTTGCAGTGAACATGCTCTGGTTTCAAAAACACTTCCATAAATAAAAGTTCTGAAGTGTTGAGATAAAATCAATCTCTGGCTTTTCACATTGGTTCTAGACCTTGGGGGGAAATTCTGAAAGCAGCTAACAAGACTCACTGAATCTTCTGTTCAGCAGACGAGTCTTCGTTCTTTTGAGTGCTCTTCGTAGGAATAGTTTAAAGTCACTTTATTAACCTGATTGCGGTATCTCAAACTCTAATTCACTCTGATCAGTGAGAGTGGAATGATCACCTCTCTCATTCTACATGCAATAGCTCATACTCAGCTTATTAAAACACCCAGTTTTTCCACACACACTGCAGATTTATATTAGCCTGTCCTATATTGCCTTTTAAGTCTAAACACAAGAAACGAAGTGGCCTGATTAGCTCTCCTTACTACCCTAAGGAGTGTACCATTCTAGTGCCTGGAATACAGTTCCCATTTTGAGTTACATTATACTCAGAAGCAGACATTCTCCCCACCAGGTTTGCATGCTGGGTTACTTAAATTCTGTCAATGATACACTTAAAAATCACCTAACAGCCCCGGCCAGGTGGCTCAGTAGGTGGGAGCGTGGTCCCATACACACAAAAATTTCCGGTTTGGATCCCCAGTAGGGTACATACCTAAGATGTGGTTTGATCCCTGGTGGGATGGGGCACATACTGGAGGCAACCGATCGTTTTTTCTCTCACATCGATATTTCTCCGCCCCCCCCCTTTCTCTAAAATCAATAAAAATATATCCTTGGGTTAAGGATTAAAAAACAGTTTTTAAATCACCGTGCAGGGTTAGCTATTTTAGATCTTTATTCATTTCACTCAATTCAAAATCCACTGAATGCTTGGATACTGTACTCATCAATGAGATCCACAGAACAAAGAAGGGAACTGCCCAGAGGACCTTACGGCTCACAGCAACTTGCTGGGGTTGCCTTACTGAGGAACACTCACTGATTTCAACCTACAGACCATGCTGTTTTATACAAAGTCTGGGTGTCACTTATTCCCCTGCTCTCTCCATTCTTTGCAAGCTAAGTGCACAGTAATGTTCAATGCATGAATGCACCATACCCTCACTACTACCTAAGCTATCCCTGCAGCAAAGACCTGTAGTAAGGCTTTACTCCTTGCATCGCTGAAAACAGCGAACAGTAAACTCTCAAACGTACCCGTCACACAAAACCAGGTTCACGAAGGCTGCAGGCACACACGGAAGGGTAAGGTAACTCTTTACCCTTAGCTAAGAGATTACAGAAACAGAAAAGAGGATCCAAGAATGCACAGTGGAGATGAAGAAATGGTGAAGACGAAATTAAACTCCAAAGCAGTAAAAATCGTATTTTCCCCACCAACGCCAGCACACTCCCCCGTCGTTTCCACCGCAACAGGCAAAAAGCTCCCGCATAAAGGACCGCAGGCGGCTCTCACGTGCAGAAGCCCCCGCAGCCACCCCGCGGAGCGGCCTCTGCCCCGCCACGCCCCCGCACGGGCCCACTCGCGCCTCGGCCGCCAGCCAGCGGGGAAGCGCCCGGAGGCCTCCGCTCCGACGCGGCTTAGGGACGGGGAGGCAGGTGGGCGGAGGACGAGCCTCTCCCGGCCTCGCAAGCCCAATCCCCGAAGAAAGCGGGCGATCGGCGACCCCGGGCTCCGAACGGAGCACCCGAGGGTCCCGGGACGGGGCCCAGGCAGGCTCTGTGGGCCGCCCCCAGCCCCCCGCCCCCTCCAGAAGCCGTTAGCGCCCCGGCCCCACCCCTCGCGCCCGGCCGCGCCCGACATCCCACTCGCCCCAAGTCGCTACACCCGCCGATCGCGGCCCGAGGCATCTGCTCGCTGTGGGCGGGCCGGGCTGGCAGCCACGTCCGGGAGATCGAGGAGCCGGGCTCCCGTACCTGCACTTTCCTCCGCCCGGCCGTGTTCTGCCGGTGATGGGCCGCCATCTTGCATGTTGACACTCCGACGTCACTTCCGGAAGTGGCTCCGTCCAGGCGGAAGTCGCGCCTCTTCCCCTTCGGCCGAGGGCCGGCGGCGGGGCGAGAGTCCGGCGGCCGGCGCGTCCCTCCGGCGCGGTGTGTGGCCGCGGCCGGGGGCCCCGTGCGGAGGCAGAAGGACCGCAGAGTTGTCGCGTGAGTGTGATGCTGGCGAGAGCTCGCTTCCGAGCCGAGGGAGCAGTCCAGTCCGGCTCCGTGAGCCCCGGCCCCGGCTTGCTCTCCCCCCAGCGCCGTCGCCGGAGGCCCAAGCCGGCATCGGGGAAGCGCCGAAAGAACCCGTCATGCCGGACCTGGGCGGCTTGCACAGAAGCGCAGAAACCCTCCCCCCAGATTCCCCTAAGCAGCCCAGGGAACCCGCAGATGTGCCATGACACCCCACAAACTGGCTTCAAAGGAGGAGACTGCAAAGGAGGGAGGGGGCCCCCATCTTCAGGGGGAGCCAAGTATCTGTTTAAATACGAGGGGACAGGCTGGTAGGAAGGTGAAAAATGCACACTGGTTGAAAGTGTTCTCCGGGACCACCTCTGAGGTGGCAGATGCTGAAGGCGTGGGCTCACTCCAGACCCGGGCGTGAATCATCTCGTCCCGAGCGGCCCTTGTGGGTGAAGGTTGGCCCTGGAGTTTCCCCGACACGTCCAGGTGCTGAGGACACGCGGACTCCGGGAAAGTGGCTCCTTTGGGACCACGGTGACCCACGGAGCCCCCACTCGGCGCCCCACGCAGCCCCCACTCGGCGCCCCACGCAGCCCCCACTCGGCGCCCCACGCAGCCCCCACTCGGCGCCCCACACAGCCCCCACTCGGCGTGTGTGGCCAGGGCGCCCTTGAAACATGGCCCGCTCACGTGGAGATGTGTAACTCAGATGCCCACCGAATATAAGAAACTTAGTACAAAGAAAGGGATGCAAAGTGTCTCAATAATTTTCATACTGGTTACATGTGGAAATGATAACGTTTTGAATATATTGGGTTAAATAAAATAAAATTACTTTTTATAATGTGGCTATTAGTATATTTAAAGTTTCATATGTATTCACTTTTTTTTTGCATAGTGCTAGGATAGATATAATGCTTAGGAAAGTTCTTGTCTAAACAAATGCCTTTTTAAATTAATAAAGAAATGCAAGTTAGAAGAGTAGAAAATAATGGCAGGAAGCATCTTAAGCAAAACTGGCGGTGATAACTTGTAGGTAAATTACCTGTACTGCATTTTATTATAGACACATTTATTTGTGTATCCAAATATTATTTAGCACCTATTAAGTATCAGGCACTATATTAGGTGCAGGGAATCAGTGTTAAGTGCACATCGTCATAGAGTTTAGGGTCCTGGGTAAGACAGGAATTAAACATATAAATGAATCTGGAGATAATTACAGTGAAGAAAGATGGTTATAATACAGGAAATGATCCTTGAGTCAAGATCTGGGGATGGCGTTAACTAGGCAAGGAGCGGGAACAGTCTGAGCAAAGATCTTGTGGCAGGAGGGCGCTTGGAACATCCCAGGAATTAGGGCCAAGGTTTAGAGTACAGAGAAGAAGAGGAAGGAGTGTATACAGAGGCCATGCCTAGCAGGATCTTTAATGTCAGTGGGAAGCTATTGGCTTTAAGCAGGGAAGGGACGTAATCTGCATTTTAAAAGATTATTTAAAAAATACCTATTGGCTACCCATGCTGTGCCAGGCACCAAGTTCCTCAGGACAATATACGCATGCCTGCCAGAAATGGACTGTTAGGTGGTTGTGTTCCCACTTTGGACCTGAAGAACATTAAAGTTGTGAAGTCCGTTTAATGGACAGAATGTCCAGAGGGATGTCTTGAAATTCACGTTGCCTGAAAGGAGAAATGGCCTTTGGTAGTAATTCATGGCCAAAGACTAATTGGCCAGTTAGTCAAGGACATGGGAAGAATAAGATTGGAGAACTGGTGATAAGGCATACTTGGAAAGGGATATTCTGGACCTTGCAGGATAAATCTGGAGAACAATATGGATGACATGAACCCCTGTGTGGATGACACTTAGCCTCTTTTCTCAGGCTCAGTGGAATTACGGAAAAAAAGGCAAATGATAGGCAGGATTGAGCTGTGCTTGGGATCACCGAGCCATTGCTGAATGTTGAGGTTGCCAGCAGCAGTGACCCATCCTGAGCTGGTGATATACCCCATGCTCCAGGAGGATCAGCCAACCACCTGGAGGCAAGTTGATTCCATTGGCCCTTCCCAGTCGTTGGGGGAATAGTTATTTGTCCTCTCTGAAACACATTAGATTTAGATTTGCTTTCCCTGCTTGCCGCGCTTCTGTCAGCACCACCATCTGGGGACTTACAGAATGCTTCCTAGCCTGTTGTTGTGTCTGACACCATAATGCTTCTGACCAAGAAACTCACTCTGTAATGAAAGGCAGTACAGTGGGCTCATGTCCATAGAATTCATTGGTCTAATTGTATATTCTGTCTCCTAGAAGCACCCGGTCTTATTGAAGCCTTAGTTATGGTGCCTTCTGGGAGGTAACCCTATTTGATGTGACTTCTAGGATGCAGTGTATGCTTTGAACTAGTGTCCAATATTTGGCACTCTTTCTTCCTGTTCCTATATTGCTCTTTAACCACCTCAAAACTTAGTGGTTTAAAAACAACTACAAAATGTGCTTTGTTTGCAAATCTGTAATTTGTGCAGGGCTCAGTGGGGACAGTTTAGCTGTGTTCTACTTTTCCCATGATTCAGTTGGAGCAGCTGAAAATTGGGGGCTCGAAACCATCTAATGGATCACTCACTCCTTCACTGTCCGGTGACTGATGCTGAATCTGTACCACGACACCTACTCATGGCCTTTCCAGATGCTGGTAGGTTCCTTACAACATGGTAGCTGGGTTCCAAGGGCAGGCATCCCAAAAAAGAGAAATTCGGGTGGACACTAATTAATGCCTTTTCTAAACTACCAGTGGAAGTTCTGCTGCATCACTTCAAACTACATTTAGTTTATTAGGACTTACTAAAGGTGGTTATATCTAAGCAGACTCCTTTTTAATGGTAGAAGTGTCAAAAGAACTTGTGGATATGTTTTTAAAACCACCACAGTTCCATAAGCAAAATTTGATGGATTTAGGAACAAAGAAATATACCTAGTGACCCCCACTTAGAGGGTTTTTTGTTTTTTGTTTTTTAAACTGCCATTCTTTGAGATTCTGGGCCTCCCTAGTTTAGAGGTTAATTTCAATGAAGAAAGATGGTTATAAGACAGGAAATGATCCTTGAGTCAAGATCTGAGGAGTTAACTAGGCAAGGAGAGGGAACGGTCTCATGGCAGGAGGGAATGTGGAACATTTATATTCTAAAGAAAGGAATTCTTCAAACAAAGGCTGAACAGTGGTTCCATTGATTTGGAGCTGAGTCTGCTATTTATTTTGTATGTCTTGTGTCACTGGATAGTCAAGAGAAGGGGAAGAACAAGGTTATGGTATCGGTGGGAGTGATTAACCCTGATAACCAAGCAGAAATAGGTTTGCTGGTATACATAAACACCCAGATTGCTTAGAAATCGGACACTCAGATTCCTTAGAAATGAAGGTGTTAGTTGAAGGTAAAGGGAACACACAATGGCTGGTAAAGCAAGGACATCATAATGGAGGTAAAATCCTCATGATCAGGGAAAGAAATGAGAGCTTCATCTCTATTTGCATTTCCTTTATTAACGTACTAGAGGCCCGATGCACGAAACTGATGCAAGGGGCTTGGCCCTCGCAGCTGTGGCGGCTTGCCTTGGCCCTCGAGGCCCCGACTTCCTCCAGAAGGTCTTTTTGGCTGTCCGGTCTAATTAGCATATTATTATTGCTTTTATTACTATAGATCATGTATACTTTTATATGTTTTAACTTTTATTTTCTTCCTTTACCTTTTACTTCACCATTGTTTGTAGGGCGTGCTATTATTGGTAAATTTTGGTATTTAGTCCCTAAGTTACAGAGGAATGGATATCACCTTGAGGTTCTAAGCTTAGAAATGGATGGATGGATGTGGTAACTGATGAAACATTGATTGACTTCCTCAGAGGGTGACAGAGTGAGTACACCTTTGATTGTATCAAGGATAGCTGCAATATTCTAAGTGACACCTTTTTTTTTTTTTGACATAATAAACATTGAAAGCGGTGGTTATATTGGTGTTGGGCAGCTAAAAGGATGATTTCTTTGACATTTTTGTGGTTTTATTTACTGCTGTTCATCATTTGAATTCTCTTTCTGTGTTGGAGGAGTTCCCCACTATGTATCTTGGTGGTGGTGAGCACTGCTTACAGAAAATGAAAAAGACAGTCGCTCACTTCTTTTTTTCTAGCCTTCTTACAGCAAGAATGCGTGCATGTGACCTCAGCTTGATTAATCAAATGACATCTCAACTGTAACTTTTTGAGAAACTCTGAGTCAGCACCATTCAGCCAAACTGATCCTACATTCCTGATCTGCAGGAACTGTATGAGATAATAGATGTTTACTGTTGGAAGTGTCCTAATGGTAGGGTAATTTATTATGCCGCAATAGATAACTAATGCATCCTTCCTTCTCCACAAGGAGGGGAAATGTCAGAGTACCTTCACAACTCTACAAAGATATTTCCACCACCAGCCTCATCAATCTCCATTTAATTCTTTGTCTTCTCCTGTGTAACTGCCAGGAGGCTTATCCTGTTAAAATTCCTCTTGGCATTTCCTGCATAGAAAGATTGGCATCTCTATTCAAAATGTAAGAAGGCTTGACACCTATTATATTGTTCTCAGATTTGTAGAACTCCGCTTAACGACAACATGAAAACTTTTGACATTCTGACAAAAAAAATGCACACACATGTTAAATAAAAATGCAGTAAAATTTAAAAGTAAATATGAAGCACGACCGGCATGGCTCAGTGGTTGAGCATCCATCTGTGAACCAGAGGTCATGGTTTGATTTCCGGTCAGGGCACGTGCCTGGGTTCGGTCTCCATCCCTGGTGTGGGGCAGTAGGCAGCTGATCATTGATTCTCTCATTGATGTCTCTCTCTCTCTCTCTCTCTCTCTCCCCCCCCCTCCCTCCCTCCTCCTCCTTCCCCTCCCTCTCCCCCTTCCTCTCTGAAATCAATAAAAATGTATTTTTGAAAAATAAAAGCAAGTATGAATTCTAGAAGGCTTCTGTTTCCAAATAAACCAGGCTTGTTCTTGTTAAATCTTGCTCTGGAGGTTGGTCCTTCCCTCTGCCAGTTACTTGAGCAAATAATTAACTTAGGTTTCTTTATCTGTAAAGTGGAATAAAAGCATTACCTATCTCAAGGTAAATGAAACAATCTTAGCACAGTACTTAGATGTGGGAAATCATCAATATATTTTAGGTATTATTTTTAATCATCACCTGGTTCAGGAAACATTGCTAGTGTTATAATTTCCTAGAGTAGGTTGTCTCATAAATTTTATGTAATATAGGCTTCATCACTTTTTAAAGTTTTCAAACCAGCTTGAAATGTCTTATCTTTGGTTCTTGCCTTCTCCCTTTTTCTCAATAGCCTGGAGAAAGATTTGTGATCAGGCCTTTTTACAGATTGTCCTCATGCTTTAAATACATGTTTTCTGGCTCCACAATCAATCTGCTTAGTGAGCAAAGGGAAGGTAACCAGGTATGGCCTTGCAGACTTGCTATCACCAGAGTGGGGGTGGGCATGAATGCTTTAGTGTTCTTTTGTTTTCATTATTTAGAGGAATTAATAGGTTTTAAAAATGTGTTTAAAAACACAAAATCATGTAGAGGCTTGGTGTGTAACTACTACTGTCTGCTAGTGATTAATGCATTCAATTGGATACTTTATTTTTTATTTATTTACTAGAGGCCTGGTGCATGAATTCGTGCATGGGTGGGGTCCCTTGGCCTGGCCAGCTATCAGTAGGGGCTGATCAAGGCGGCTGGCCAAGGGTGGGGAGGCGGGGCGAGGAGGGGGAGGGACCATGGGAGTTGGCCATCCGCAGGAGGTTGGCTGTGGGAGTGCACTGAACACCAGGGGGCAGCTCCTGCGTTGAGTGTCTGTCCCCTGGTGGTCAGTGTGTCATCATAGTGACCGGTTGACCAGGCATTCAGTCAACCAGTCATAACAGTCACTTAGGCTTTTACATATAGAGATTTTTAAAAAATATATTTTTTATTGATTTTAGAGAGGAAGGGAGATAGAAATAGAAACATCAATGATGAGAGAGAATCATTGATTGGCTGCCTCCTGCATGTCTCCCCCTGGGGATCATGCCCACAACCTGGGCATGTGCCCTGACCTGGAATTGAACCATGACCTCCTGGTTCATAGGTCGATGCTCAACCACTGAACAACACCAGCTGGACTCAATTGGATACTTTAAAGATTAATAGCTCTGGCCAGGTAGCTCAGTTGGTTAAAGCATTGCCCTGATACACCAAGGTTGCGGGTTCGATCTCTGGTCAGGGCATAAACAAGATTCAACGAATGCATGTATAAGTAAGTGGAACAACAAATTGATGTTTCTCTCTTTCTCAAAAAAAATAAGTAAAATATTTTTTAAAAAGATCAACTTTAAAAAGAATAGAATCTTAATGCAGAAGTGCTAAATAAAGAAACTTCTTTGTGCAAGCTGGTCATGATATCAATCAGATTTGTGGAGAAATTGAGAAGGTGCATAATCTATACTAATAAAAGGGTGATATGCTAATTAGACTGGGAGACCTTCCAGGAGACCTTCTGGACATTCTTCTGGACAAAGCCATGGTGGTGGGGCCGAGGTAGAGGTGGTTAGAGGCCAAGAGGGGAGGGCAGTTGTGGGTAATCAGGCTGGTGGGGGGCAGGGCTGTTGGGAGTAAGCAGACCAACAGGGGGGCCAGTTGGGGGCAAGCAGGCCATCATTGGGGGTCAGTTGAAGGTGATCAGGACAGTGGGGGGGGGCAGTTTGGAGTGAGCAGGCCAGCAGGGGGGCAGTTGGGGGCAAGCAGGCCAGTGGGGAGGGAGGGTCGGGGCGAGCAAGCCAGCAGGGGAGGCAGTTGGGGGTGAGCAGGCTGACAGGGGAGGCAGTTGGGGGCAAGGATGCTGGCACGGGGGGCAGTTGGGGGTGATGAGGCTGGTGGTGGGGGGCATTTGGGGGCAAGCAGGCCAGCGGCGGGGGGCCGTTGGGGGTGAGCAGGCCGGCAGGCAGAGTGGTTAGGAGCAATCAGGCAGGCAGGCAGTTGAGTGGTTAGGAGCCAGCAATCCCGGATTGCGAGAGGGATGTCCGACTGCTGGTTTAGGCCCGATCCCTGTAAACTGGCAGTAGGACATCCTTCGAGGGGTCCCAGATTGGAGAGAGTGCAGGCTGGGCTGAGGAACACCCCCTCCCCCGTGCATGAATTTCGTGCACTGAGCCACTAGTTTCCTTATAACTCTTTAATGGTTCTCTAAGGTTCTTTAGGGTTTCCTTATAACTCTTTAATACAGTCTTAGAAGGCAAGGTATTAAATGGCTCATCATTCCACAGTGCATTTAGTTTTTAACACACTGGGAAAAAATAGCCGTTAGTTAGTTCTTTTATCTCTTTCTGTATATATTTTTTACGTGTCTATGTTTTTTACAGTATTAGAAATACAAACCAGTCTCTTTTCCATTCCAAAAATGTTTCAACTTTTGTCTAACTTATCCACTGGAGGGCAGTAGAGAACCATTCAGGCCATCCTTGATTTTGGACCTTCTCTAATCTGACAAGTCAGACCTTAAAATTTAATACATATTTCCTGCTGATAAAATGCCACAACCAAAGTACCTTTTTAAGAAATCTATTTGATCCCCTAAAATCACAAATGTAATTTTTTGTGGTGGGACTTTTATACAGGAGCTGAACTGAGTGAGGCTTCCTAAAATGCCAGGCCACAGAAGTACAGTGGGTATGAATATTATCCCACAAACTGATATGTAAAGACTAGAGGCTTGGTGCATGAAATTCATGCAGGGAGGTGGGGGGGTCCCTCAGTCCGGCCTGTGCCCTCTTGCAGTCCGGGACCCCTTGGGGGATGTCTGCCTGCCTCCTTAGCACTTCTGCGGAGGTGGGAGAGGCTCCGCCCCTGCCGCTGCGCTCACCAGCCATGAGCCTGGCTTCTGGCTGAGCGGCGCTCCCCCTGTGGGAGTGCACTGATCACCAGTGCACATCATAGCAATTGGTAGTTCTGCTGTTGGGCCAATTTGCATATTAGGGTTTTATTATATAGGGTGTCATATTAGATTGTTAAAATTAATTATAATTTGAGCTCACAGCCAACCAAAATGATGGAAAAGTAAACCTCAGTCATTGTTAAGGCTCTCTGGCTACTGTAACCCACTCTCAGGTTACTCATCAATCCCAGGGGTCATATACTGGAGGCACCAACAATCCTCAGGCTACACTGGTTACAGCTGAGATGCCCAGTGTCCTTTGAAAGTGAACAGGCCTCTGGGACTGGGCTTTTTTGTGACAGCTAGAAATCCCAGTGTCCAGGCCCCACCTCCCTCAGATCACCTGCCATCATTGACCAGGTTCTGTCACCAACCTGGATGCTTTCAACAGTAGTCACAGTCCTTCACCTTGCAGAACCCCTCCTGCTTTTACTGACTTCTTCTCTGACCTACAAAGAGAATTCATTTGTCCCCTGCACTCCTTTTCCCACCCAGATTCACAGCTCAACTTCTTCAGGGAGCATGGGCTCTCACTAAAGGCTAGATCGGGGGTAGTCTTTAAGAGCTTCTGTTTAAGGCCCAGTAATACAAAGCACTTCTGAGATCAGCAACACGACGGACCGGCAATCATCAGCACAAGGTTGGGAAGGAAGGAAAAGTACAGCAAAAACAAAATACACTCTAGTGTTTTGACCAATTATCCTCTGCAGAAGCTGGAACTGAAGACAATTTTCCCCTAGTAATCGCCCTACAAAAACCACAGGCATTCTTTATGCCTCTAAACACCTTCAAAGTGCATTCAAAATTAGGGTTGTGAGTCTGTAAATCTTCCTTTGCTAATTTGTTGTACATGAATGCCTGCAGAAGCTTTTGAATGGTAAATGCTGTGGGAGGGGCAGTTTCCATGGTGACTGTTCAATGCACCCTTTTTCTTGCACTCCTGTTAGATCTTCATTGCTGATCTGCTGTGAATTAGAAGGTAACAGCTCAATCACATCTGGAGGGCAGGAAGAGATGTGAGAGAGGCAGCCTTTCTCTACGCAGCCACATCCGGAACCCACTGAGTTGTACTATGCTTCCTTGTGTCGTTTCTTCATGGTTGCCCTGGCCCCTCTGTAGAAAAATGTATTTGCGACACATGACAAAGAGCCAATTTCCTTAGTATAGAAGGAGAGCTTCTAAGTGACTATGAAAAATACCATAACACAGTTGGAAAACAAAATAGGCAAAGGACATAAACAGACAGCTTACATACAGGAAAAGAAAATGGCTTACATTGTCTGAAAATAAACTTAATTTCATTCATGATAAAGGAAACACTTAAATTAGATTTCATTTTTCATCTACCAGGTTGAAAAAGATCTAAAAGTTTGATAATGTACAGTGTTCAGAGAAGGTGGAAAACCCATGATTTTATACAGTCTTAGTGGGAGGGTAAATCAGTATAATCTTTTTGGAGAGTAGAATTAGCAGTTCCTCTTTTATAAATTCATCCTACAAGTGTAATTACATTTGACTTAAAAATACAAGTAGAGGAATATTTATTGAGGCATTCTTGAAGCAAATCATTGGTACAGGTCAGAGTTATTGATACTTCTAGATAGTTATTCACACAGGGCAATGAGAGGCAAAAATAAAATTGAGTTTTCCTCACATCCAGTGAATTGTATGCTCAACCTGTTTGCTGAATGAGTATTGTTAAAGAATAATTCTTAAAAAAGAGAAAAAAGGCCCAAAGGTGTGGCTAAGTGGTTGAGTGTCAACCTATGAACCAGGAGGTCACAGTTTGATTCCCGATCAGGGCACATATCTGGGTTGTGGGAAGGCTCCATCCCCAGTGTGGGACGTGCAGGAGGTAGCCAATCAATGATTCTCTCGTTGATGTTTCTGTCTCTCTCTCCCTCTCCCTCTCCCTTTCTCTCTGAAATCAATAAAAATATATTTTAAAAATTAAAAAGCAAAATCATGACTTTTGTGCAGGTATAAAATGAACATAAGTTGAAGATTTCATTTTGCTTACGATGAAGGAACTAGGCCGATGTCATGGTTAGTTCAAAGGAGAAGTCAAGGAAGCACAAATCACATGGAGTAAAGGAATGTTACAGCGAATGCTTGGATGGGGGCAAAACTTTTTCCACGAGTGGGTAAGGATATCTCTCCATCTGACAGAATCGATTTGCATGTAAATTGATAGGAATTATTCTGCATTGTTATCAGTTATGGGTAATTTGCAGAATTATAAAATAGCTCATAGAAAAAGGATCAGTAATGATGCAGGCTCTGCTACTGTACAATTTTCCATTGATTGAAGCAATTTTCTGTATAAGATTGAAATGATAAATGCAAGGATCTAACAGAGTATAAAATACTGGGGTCCCAAAGATGTATAAAAAAGGACATTCAAGTATATGTACGTATGTACATGCATATGTTCATATACACATCGACTGTTCCTCAGTGGAGACAGAAGAAATTGGTAGTTGTGGCTGACACTGGGGAGAGGAATCTGAGACAAAAGGGGGACCTATTTTTCACTGTATACCTTTATATACTGCTTGATTTTTTCTTTGCTTTTGCCAAGGGCATATATCTTTTTTTTTTTTTTTAAAGAAAAAAGGCAATCTTTCATAAACCTTAGTGTGACAAATGGTAAATAATGAAATATGTAAATCAAGCATTGAGGAAAATACAAGGAGAAATAGATGGAAAGATAGTCATGGCAAACCTCTTTCTGGTTTTGACGATTGAGCAGACAAAAAGTAGGACTATGAAAAGCAGTTTTCAACAGTCTGCATATTAAAAGCTATTTGGGAGCTCCTTTAGAAAACCATTTTTATTTCAAACACATGCAAAATAGACTAGTCTGATGAACTCACATGACCCACCATCCAACTTCAGCACTCAACAATTCATGACCAACAAATTCCCCACCCACTTTCCCCCTTTTCATATTGAAGCAAATTCCAGAAGTCATATCATTTAATCTATAAATATTTCCTCTGGTGAATAGCTCTAAAAATTAAGAACTGTCTTTAAAGACCATAACCACAATACCATAGTCATTTTTAAAGTAAATTCATTAGTACAATAAAATAAAATAAATTCATTAGTACAATATCATTGTCACACCTAAAATGACAGTAATTCCTTCATCAAAGATTCAGTATTAAAATCTTCAACTGTTTCATAAATGTCATTTTAAAAAATCGCTTTGTTTGAATTAGAATCTGAATAAGGACCACACACTCTGATTATCTCAAGTCTGTTATAATCTATTACCTGGGGATCTTCTAGAAAATACTGTAGTCTAGGCTCCTTCTTGACAATGGTGAATTTTATCTGAGCCCTTTGTTCCTGGAAAACAGTGACAGTTAAGAAACACACACACACACACACACACACACACACACACACACACACACAGCCTTGTCTGTGTTCTGGAAAAGACACTGCAAAGAACCATCGTTGTCCATATGACTTAGGTGTAGGCCCCCTCATTTACCTAAGACAAGGCCAGACACAGACCCTTGAAGTTCCCATTCTTGGCTTCATAAATAATTAGCTGAACTGCTTGTTCCATTGAGCAATCAGGACAAAATGCTGGTTAACCGAACTGTGGTTAAGATCCTCTCCTTCTGCCAGGTCCCTGAGTTTGGTCCCACTCTCAGCAAGAACCGGTACACAGCGAACTCCTTAACCTCTCCTGAGAAAAGGCTGACCTCAGAGTTAAACATTCTCTGACCTGCTATCCCACCAGGCCACTCTTGTTTTTCTAGTCTTGTTTACTCCTCTCTACTGTAAATGAAAAATTCTTTTTGCTTAACACTGGAGATGGTATGTATGGTCAGAGTTCCCTATGCAGTAGACCTCCTCCACCTATTGGAAGGTCCCTCCCCCCCCACCCCCTTGCAGTAATCCTTTCCAAATAAAGTCTCTCATTAAATCTGGATTTAAAAAATATGACAATTCCAAGAAATTTTGATGTTATTTTTCTCTAGTTTATGACAATATGAAATGAGATTTGAGAACTGCTGCTTAGAGGATGTGAACAGTACAATTGCTAGGATAATCTAATACATGCATGTCTGTGTTAGTCTGTGTTCCTCCAGAAAGCAAGTTCTGAGGCAAGTCTTGGTGTAAATGGTTTATTTAGGAGGTAGTCTGAGGAAGCACAGGAAAAAGCAGGGACAGGGAGACAGGAAGGAGGACAGCCGCATCCAGGAGGCATACAGGAGCGGGCTTTCTGCTGTGGATAATGAGCGCAGGTTCTCTGGGGAACATGTACAATTGCCCTTTAGATTTGATCTCTCAAGGTGACCGTCCTGTGGATCTAAGTTGGGTATCTTTTTTCAGCCACACAGTTGCTCACTGAATGTATAAAGTGGCCATGACATTAGGAATTTACGCCAGGCATAGACTTTTTGTCACTAAGATCGTTCTGGCTATTGCCACTGTTTAGTGTACAATATGCCAACAGCAAAGGCCAATGCTTAGCCCCTTCTATGACATCATTCCCTTGAGGGAAAAGCCAGACACCTGGTGGTAAGTCAGTTATATTGGAGCCCTTAATGTCAGGCAGATAGAAGCACAGAGCGACTCTGTGAGCGTGAGGTATGGGTTGGAGGATGAGAATGAAGGGTGGACCGAGCTGATCCTGTGCTTTATGCCTCGCCCTGTCCCTTCTATGATTGCCTGGGGCTTGCCCCCTGCAAGCTTCATTTTCCAGACCCCCATGTCAGCTGGCCTCCGGCAGGTTCAGCCAATGGGAGGCACTCCTGGGGGATTGGAGAAAAAGAAAGGAAGCCAGGGAACTTCCTTCTCCTTGCTTCCTCTCTGTCTCATTTCTGGCAGGGACCGTGTTTCCTCCATAGTCTAGTTATGGCACATACAAAGTTGGTGTATGTGAGTTTGTATGTGTGCTAAGCCTTTGAACATGTCTCAGATATAGCGACTTTTGCGATATCTGCCAAGAAAAGGAGAATTGGAAGACACTGTTAATGATGCAGTCTATCAAAGGTGGTTTTCTCTAAGTGGTGACGTTATTGAGAACTTTCTGTTATCTGGTTATTTTTTAAAAGAAAAGGTTGCTCCCTCTCACCTCCATTAGTGCTCTTTGATGATCAGTGCAAATTGTCACCTGGTATTTATTTTCACGGGTCTCTAATTGCAGCTAATCAAGCATTTACCTTTGCATTTATAAGCTCTTACTGCAGATACATTTTTAGCCATCCTTAGTAAAGAAACATAATTGCAGTAAAAACCATAGAAATGAACATAAGCAAAAGTAAGAGATGAGGATCATCACTTATTACTTAAGCATACTTCCTTTTTCTGAGCCACATAGAGATCAGGAAGAGAAAACAGCATCTTAAATAGAATTTAGGAAGCTGGGAAGCTGGTGGCAGGGAGCCCAAATAAAAACATCATGGCATTTGCATGTAAAGAAGCCATAGCCAGTATACTAATTTTATTCAACAAATAGAATTATGTATTATTTACTTTGTAAATCTCAAAGACCAAATATTTTTTTCTAAAATGTTCTTATTTTTATTTTAAAGATAAAAGAGTTACCTTGTCTAGATCAGTCTGACCTGTTTTTGCTATTCAGAATAGTATTGGGAGAACATAACATAATTTTCAGACTTAATTGTAATCTTGGTGACCATCAAGTGCAGCCCTCTTATTCAACAGGAAATGGAGACCAAGTGCTTTGTTAGATGAGTAAGTGGCAGACCTAGAACCACAAACCATCCTCTTGACTCTATCTTCTCTGTTTCTTAAAAATATTAGTGATTCTCAAATGAACAGTGGTTTTTCTTCAAGCCACATGTATCCCTTCTCAGCAACCCTGCTTTATGATTCTTTTATGCCTCTTCCCCAGATTGAGAATTTTCCGCTTCTTAAATAAAAATTTGAAATCCCAAATGTACTGTGATTGTGGTCTCTGACTCAAAAGACTAAACTGCCCTCTCTCTCTCTTTTATGAAATAAAACTTTAAAAAAATTGATGTTAGAGGGAGAGATAGAAATGTTGATCAGTTACCTGCCTCCTGCTTGCTCCCTACTGGGCATCCCAAACCCAGGCATGTGCCCTGACCGGGAATTGAACTGGCAACCTCTCTGTGCATGGGAGGACACTCAACCAACTAAGCCAGACCTGCCAGGGCAATGTTTTCAAAGTTGAGGTCAAGCCCGCTAGTGTGGCGCAGTGGTTGAGGGTTGACCTATGAACCATGAGGTCACAGATTGATTCCCAGTCAGGGCACATGCCTGGGTTGTGGGCTCCATCCCCAGTAGGGGGTGTGCAGGAGGCAGCCAATCAATGATTCTCTCTCTTCGATGTTTCTCTCTCTCTCTCTCTCTCTGAAATCAATAAAAGAATATATTTTTAAAAAACAAAAAAATTGAGGTCAAGAAAAAATACTAGAATTTCTATTTGTATTATATTTTTTATTTTTTCAGTTTTTATCTTAAAATTATACATTATTAAAGTCAGATAGCTCTATAGGACTTCCTGGGAAACACCAGCCCCCTCTTCACCATTTCCCCCTCCCCAGAGGCTACCACTTCCACTTACTTTCTCAGGCTTTTATGATTTATTTCATTCCATATCTCTAAATGACAGGATTATTTCTCTATCTTCTTTTTCAGAGTTAGTAATCATCTGTTGACTTCCTACTGCACGAGATGAGGATTTAGTGGTTTATTATAAAGCATGCAATTATAAAGAACAGCCAGGTGGAAAAGATGCATAGGACAAGGTATGGGGGAAGGGGTGTGGAGCTCCCATGCCCTGTCCAGGTACACTACCTTCCTAGCACCTCCGGTCGGTGACAACCTGGATGCTTTCTGAACTCTGTCCTTTGGCTTCTTGTGGAGGCTTCGTTATGGAGTCGTGATTGATTAAATCTTTGGCCTTTAGTGATGACTCCAGAGGTCAGAGGGTGGGGCTGAAAGTCCCAACCCTCTAATCACATCGTTGGTACTCCCTGTCAACCATCCCCCACCCTGAGGGACTTTCCAAAAATCACCCCATTAACATAAACTCAGGTGTGATTGGAAGAGGCTGGTTATAAACGGAAAAACCTACCCAAGTCAGAAACTGCAACGCCCCCATTGCAGTTGGTTGTAATGTGGACAGTAAAATCAGAACTGAAGCCTAACCTCAGCAGATGGCAGTAGTCACGAAGCAAATATTTGTGGGATTTTGTTCTTTGTTTGTTTTTCAGTACTTTAGCTTTAGGTGTTGAACACAGCCTTAAGGCTTAAACACACAGGGTCTGGAAACCACAGCCTGGATGGACCTTTCGGTCCTCAGCCAGCATCACATAGGTTGCAGGTGACCACCTTTAGCAGGGATGGACCACTCACACTTCTCCCGGTATAGTCCTTTTACCCAGAAACTGCAGTGCTAACTCCTGTTCGTGAGCACAGGGGAGCCTCATTATCAAAACACTTACTATAGGAATCCCCAAAATGAAAGTCACCCAACCTGAAATTTTTAGTAACAAATTCTTATAAAGCTAGTCCCCCCCTTCACACCTCCCTCTGGCTTAACACTGGCATCCATCTTCCCCCAACAATAATGTCAGATGTTTCACTGTGATTACTATGCCAACCAGTTGCAAAGTGAATTTGCCAATCTTGCAAAAGATGTGGGATTTTACTAAGGTAATGAAAGTGATGGTGGAGGACTGATTCAATAATTATTAGGAAATCTCCAAGAAATGAAGGTTTGGCAGAGTTTGGTCACAACTGAGAGAAAGAGAATCAGCATAGATGATGACATACTGGAGGCTTCAGAAAGGGATGATCAGAAATTCAAAACATTAGAAGATCCTGGGGAAAAGAGATAAAGCCTTTGACTATTGTGCAAAATTTCCTTTCTTTACAACCTTTCTGTGAAGGTCAAATGAGAAGTGACAGGTGTCATATTTTGCTATCTTACAATTTTTTTTTTTTCAGAAAAAAGCATTCCCAAAACATGTCTTGATTCACTGTTGTGATCTAAAAATGAGTTCACAGTTGCAGTTATAATAAAAATGTGGTTAAATATAAAAGAAATTCACTATGATAATTTTTAATTCTTTTAAAGATAAAGCCCCAATTCACATTCCCCCTAATTCCTACTATTTACTATAAGCTCTTGCTTCCCATTTAAATAGATTCACTTAAAGTGATCTTTTCCCAGGACCGATTATCAAAAAGCTTTTTTATAAAGAACTCCTTAATTGTACTCTAGAAGAGCATATCGGGCCCACTAGGCATGAAAGCATTTTGAACATGCTGTGTTTTTCGTTAGCAGCGATTGCAACCCTGGCTCCAGATCATTGGCCCAGCTCCTTCCCACAAGAGGAGTGAGGTTTCCTCATGAGAGCTGCATCTGCTTGTCCCAGACTTGAATCATGGAAAGGCTGGGCTGGCTCACAGACACTGCTCTCTGGGCTTTGTGAGAAACCCAGCTGCTGATGTAACTGGCTGTTCTTCCTCTCCTTAGCACTGCAGCCACGTTTCTCAAAAAGCAATACATGTAAATAAAAGATGTATAAAGTGAACCAGCTCTTAGGAAAATGGGAAGTTCATAGTAATCACAGTGAAACTCCCTCGTTTATGGGAGGAGGTTGTTAAAGCAAATAATTTCTCTTTCTTGGGAAGGGGATTATGGAAATCCTTCCCTTCCCATCCCTATATAGACATTTAATGTATTTATTTTATAAATTGGGTGGCAAAGGTGGAAGCAGAAGACCAGCTAGGAGTCCGTTGTAATAACTGAGGTGGGAATGGGTGGCCACTTACACCTAGGTGGAAGCAAAGGAAGTGTTAAGACTGATTGTCTTTGAAGGTAGACCCAACATTTACCTTGATGCATTGGATATGTGATATGAAAGAAAGAGGAGTAAGGGATGATTCTCCCAGGATGGAGTCTCAGGGCACTAACATGGTAAGGTCTTGGGGAGAATAGGACACAGAAATGAAGACTGAGTAGGAGCTGCCAGAGAGGTGGGAAGGGAACTAGAAGAGTGTGGTGTGTACATGAAAAAAGGTGTATATGAAAGGAGAGAATGATCAACTGTGTCTTCTGCAGCTAAGTTATCAAAGATGTGGACTAGGAAATAGTCATTGGGTTTAATAACTTGGACTTCACTGGTGACTTAACCTGAGAAGTTTTGTTACAGGGATGGAGGCAAAAGCCTCATTTGAATGGGTTCAGAGAAAACAGGAGGAAAGGAATGGGAGAAAGTAAGAATAGACAACTCTTTTGCTGCAAAGGGAAGTAAAGAATTGGGGCAGAAACTGGCAGGGGATGTGGAGTCAGAAGAAAGTTTTTCTATTTTGTTTTTTTAACATGAGCAAATGACAGCATGTTTGCAACCTGGTAGATAGAAATGATTCATTAAAGTGGGAAACATTTTTGTTGCATAAGAGAAAAAGGGAGTGCTGGGGTCCAACCCCAGCGGGTCCAGGGGTCCCCAAAGGTGTGGACGGAGTCGGTGAAGAAGGAAGGACACGGAGACAGTGTTCAGTTGATCAGCAGCCTAGCCAGGATCTCCAGCCAGGATCTCCAGCCAAGTTCTGGTCTGGATCTCCAGCGAAGTTCTGCCGTTTATTGTCCTGTTACATCCGTATTTATCCCAGTTGATTTTAATCCTGTCAATTTCTATTACAAAGGTTAGGGCGTTTCTTATCTCCATTCCAGGGAGTAAAGATTATGTAGCTTAAGCATGATTGTTTGTAGTGATTAACTACCCGCCTGGCACTTAGTTAAGGAGTTTCATCCCCTCCCTGACTTCAGGGAAAAATTCCTACCTGGGGAAACAACCTTTCTAGGAGAGGCATCCCCTCCCTGACTTCAGGGAAAAATTCCTACCTGGGGAAACAACCTTTCTCGGAGAGGTGACCTTGGTTAAAACACACAGCGCTAAGGGGAGCAAACATATTAAGAACAGTATGCTATATACGCCAGGTCCCTTGAAACATATGCTGTGCAGATGTTTCTTTCCTGCAGCGACTGTGTCAAGCAGCAAGGATGGACCGGCTTCCGGCAAGGGAGAAATGATGAAACGGTGTTTCTAAAGCTACAAGAGGGGATGAGACATGTATGCATGTGAAGGGGCTGGCTCTAGACAGGACCATGGAGAGTCCATTCAAAGTAAAGAAGGGTGTATGGTTAGCTTTTGTGGCATAACAAACCATCCCAAAACTTAGTGGCTTAGTGGGGTGGTTGGTTCTTATGTGGGTTGTCTTGACTGATCTTTCCTGGGCTTGCTGTGGTCAGCTGGTGGATTGGCTGGAAGTTGGATGATCTCAGATCATCTGATTGGCACTCATGTGCCTTTCATCTATCTGGCAGTTATCTGGCTGCCAACTGGGGTGCCTCTTTGTTTCCCACATGGCCTCTTGTCTGCTGAAGGCTAGCTTGAACTTGTTCACGTGGTGGTCTCTGATTTCCAAGCTTAGCAAGGGAAGGCAAAACATAATGTGCAAATATTTCTGAAGCCTTCATTTGCATCACATTTTCTAATGTCCTACAGGCCAAAGCAAGTTATAAGGCCAAGCCCATATTCAAGAGTTAGAGAAATAGATTCCACCTCCTAATGGGAGAAGCTGCATAATTACATTGCAATGGGACATGAGTTCTGGGAGGGGAAGAATTTGTGGCCATCTTTGCAACTTGCTATAGGACAGAAGGCAGTGACTATGCATGCAGATGCCAACAGGCGGGTAGATGTAACTTTGGGATTCTGGGGAAATTATCTTCTAAGTGCTTTAATTTTCTCAAAGGTAAGGTCTCATGTTGAAAGCCCATGTCAGGCTTATGTTGATTTATTCATTGATAATGAACAACAAAACTGCCAAGAGAACTAGGTCCGTATGGCAGCTTCTAGAGTCCACCTTTAGGAAAACTGTCTCCTGGAAGCCACCTAACCATGAAGTCTGGGACTCCTACAAAGGGATTTAATTGGATAACTGATGGCTGATGTCATGGAGCTTGACAGCCGGATGCACCCATTCTTGAAAAGGTCAGACTTTCCAAGTTGATTAAAATAGCCTATCTGCTAGGCACCCCCTACTCTGGATAATGCTATCTGGGTGCTGCTGCGCTCTGCTCTTTGACTGTTTTCTCTGTGTATCAGCCCTTTATCCACCTGCTCTCCACTACATGTGTTGCCAACAAGGGTGCAACAGCTCCTGTTATTCCTGCTGTGGTCCTGGAGGACATTTTGACTTTTCAAACATATTTCATCCCAACATTTACCTGTTGAATCTTATTAATTTAAGATTAATAGTGTTCTGAGAGGTGTTGACACTTGAGGTTTTCTTTCTTTGAATATATAGATTTTTTCAGACCTCTATGTCTTCTGGACTTAGAGTGTTTCCCTTTAATTTTATGAAATCTCATTTAGTGACTAAAAGCTTCTATTGCCCTGGTTTTATGATCAATGCATGACTTGATTATTTTAGTGAAATTAATTCCTCTCCTGTTTAGTATAAAAGTATTTATTTGGGTACTAATAATTCTAGAGAGAGGAAAAGGAATCCAAGGTCAGCTTTATGGACTGAATGTTTGTCTCTCTACCTCCAAATTAGTGTGTTGAAGCCCTAACCACCACCACAATGATGGTATTAGGAGGTGGGAGGAAATTTGGTGAAACCCTCATGATGGTATTAATGCCCTTATAAGAAAAGACCAGAGAGCTTTCTCTCCCCACCCCTACTGCCCCCACTTCTCTCTCTTCGGCAAGAAGGTGGCTGTCTGCATAATAGGAAGTGGGCTCTCACCAGACACTGGAGACTCTCACCAGCCTCTAGAACGGTAAGAAATGACCTTGATCTTGGATTTCCCAGCCTCTAGAACTGTAAGAAATAGATTGTTATTTAAGCTACTTAGTCTATGGTATTTGTTATAGCAGGCTGAACTGGTTAAAACAGTCAGCATAACTTTGAGACATGACCTGGCTGAGAAAGGTGAGACACAGTGTTGGTTCAGTGCCTTTAAGTGACATTTGAGATGCACTTTTGGTCGGGCTCCCTTTGCTGATTCTTGTAGTCTTGGTTCTGAATTCTTCAATGAGTAAGACTCCTAGGAGTGTCCCATGTCTGGGGTCTGTTGCCCCTCACAAAGTCCTTTAGAAATATTTCTTCTGCTCTCATGGCCAGACAAGTGGATCCCCAAGCACTTAGGAGTTACATCACCCCAAACAAACACAGTCACAGTTTATCTAAGGCAGAAAAGTGCCTTGGGAGATGAATTTTTCTTTCCCCTTGTCATTGCAACCCTTTTCTGGGACTGAGTGGGCCAAGTGCAGCATAATCACTGGTCCTGAGAATCAGTCAACTCTACCTGTCCTTAAAAGTCACTGGATTAGAGTCAGGTCCTACATGGGCCGTGTGATGCTTGGCAAGTCACCTAACCTATCTGTGCATTGGTTTCCTAATCTCTAAAACAGCGACTGCACCACTCTGCTGGGGTTGCTGTAAGGATTAAGTGAGATGAAAGGTGTGAAAGAGTTTTTACATGACACAGTGACTTTAAGGGTATTTTTACTATTTAAAATGAATCAGGTAGAAGGTAAAGGGATTTCCCCTTTTGTTGATACACAAGTTATTCATATAATATGCATGAGCAGGAGAAAGATGTAATGGGAAGTTGACTGTCAAGAGGGGATGATAGATCAGCCAGAGGTTTGCAGATTGTCTGTAAAGGCAGACAGCAGAAGCCAGCAGTTATATTTAGCGAAACTATAAGCCTCGGGGAGAGCGGTGTCCTGCCTGTCAGTGTTTTGAGGCATAAAAGCACAGGGCACTCTTGAGGAGGATCGAGCGTTCAGCTGCGAGGAGGATTTGGCCTCCGCCAGTCCTGGGTAGATTGAAACCCAAGTCTTTACTCTGTGACGTCACCATGACAGGTCAATTTATCAGGCCTTCAGCGAAAAGCTTTACCCCTCGAGGAGGTGTGGAATGCAAAGGATGTGTTGAGCTTTGTTCCTGCACTCAAGGATCTTGGAACGAACAGAATTGTGAGACAACTGGGACTTATTTGCAGTCTAAACCACAGACTGCAGGTTCAGCTACTTACCAGGACCTAGCAGGGGATGTAGCCAAGGAAGCCCGCCACTTGTAAGAAAAGCAACAGCACAGAAGCAATATAAATGGCATTGACCTTAATGGGGAGTGGCAAAGGCAAAGATGGAGGCAAGCAGAATGTGTGTCATGTCAAAAGGGGCAACCTCAACTCAGCTTCCAAGGTGCCTGGTAAGAATGCACACGTGGAATTGCCCACATCTTTCAGTTTGGTCAAAAGAACTAAAAAATCCAGATGTTTATATGGAATTTCACAATTTTTGTAAGTTCTCAATTTTTAAAAATTGCAAGACATGGTTCTGTGGTTCTCTTTTTGTGATCGTTGCAAACACGTGGTGGTGAGTGGAAAGCTGGGTAAGCTCAGAGAAGAGAAAAGAGAGGTAGGGGACCAGCCTGGCATCATGAGCCTGAAGGATGGGCCCTTTGGCCAGAGGGCAGGTCCCAGCTCCCTCTGGGCAGAAGACAGGATGCAGAGGCTCATCGTCTCTGCACACTTCTGGAGCACAAGGACTGTCTCTGACTGGTCAGCTTCCCCTCTTGACAGCTGTTTCCCTTAGGGGAACCGTGGTGGGGGTATGGGGAGGCGAGTCTTTCCTTTGTTCATGTTTCACAATATGGAATTCTAAAAGTAATTCAAGGCAAATTTTTCTAACATTTGGAGAGCGTAAAGATAAGAGCTTCCCTCCCTTCCTTCCACTCTCCCTCATTTCCATTTCTAAGAGGTAATTACTGATAACATTTTTGAGCCTGTCATTTTAGAAATGTTTTAAGCATGTAAAACCATATGCATGATTTCTTTTCCCCCCTCACCTGGCAGATAGAGGAAAGACATGATTGACCACCAAGCAGAGAGCAGAATCCCATCTCTGCATGTTTGTGTCTCCTGCTTCGAAGGCCTTTCTCTTCCTCCTCATCTCCTCTCATTGGAAGGCCACACAGTGAGTGACAAAGAACACAGCCTGCGAGTCAGACTTTCTGGCTCCCCACCCTGGCTCTATCATTTACTAGCTCTGTTACTCAGCTTTTTCCAGTGGAGTTACTCAGCCTTTTCATGCCATGATTTTCTCATCTGTTCAAGGGAATTAAAGTAGAATCTGCCTCGAAGAGTTGTGAGGAATGAATGCCTTCAAGTCCATGAAGGGCCTCGGGCAGGATTCGGCACAAAGCAAGCGGGATATAAGTGTTTACTATTACGACTGTTCTCAAAGGCCTAATACTTGTTTCTTTTCTAGTAGGAAACCTTGCTTGATTATCCCTAATCCCAGCTCCTCTCCTCCTCTAACTTACCTCTTTCAGTGCTGATTACACCACGTAATGTTGGATATTGCAATGGAGGGCAGGCACCACACTTCTCACTTTGTGTGTGTCTGCATGAACAGAGTTGGGGCAGGAATGCAGGTACCCGGATCTCCAAGTCTGTGACCTGTTCTGCCCCCTGTGGCAGAGGGCAGTGAGATATAGCAGGGATCCTGGGACCCAGCTGCCCTCACCCTCTCGTGCCTAGGGTGAGAGAGAAATTGAGTGCTTCTCTTGCATTGAGATACTCTTTATATCCCCCAGAAGGTGCCTTGCCAAAATTTAGAGCAGTTTTAGAAATTCTCCACTAGAACGAGAGCCCTAAGGGCGGCAGTGCTAGGCACTTCTCCTGTCCCCTGGGAGCCTCTGAGATCATCTCAGTAAAACTTTAATGCATGGAAGTCAATTAGAGTGGAGAATTCTCCTGTAATCAAAAGAGGCAATGCTTTTATTGGAAAGGTGCAAACTAGAGGGGGAAGGATGACAGCTGTGTGGGCTCTGTAGAGCTAATGGCTCGGGCTGGGAAAATTATTTCAGCAGAGTCAGGCCATATGTACTGGGCAGCAAGGCAAGGGAGGGACTGTGGAGTGGGCAGGGGAAAAAGGCAGTAGGTAGCCGTAGTGAGTATCCTTAGAGCGTGCTGACGAGTTCCCAGAGCAGGTTTACACCTTCACTTTCGTGGATCATCCATCAAATCCATGAAGTGCCCTAACTGGTTTGGCTCAGTGGATAGAGTGTCGGCCTGCGGACTGAAGGGTCCCAGGTTTGATTCCGGTCAAGGGCATGTACCTTGGTTGCGGGCATATCCCCAGTAGGAGATGTGCAGGAGGCAGCTGATCGATGTTTCTCTCTCTCGGATGTTTCTAACTCTCTATCCCTCTCCCTTCCTCTCTGTAAAAAACCAATAAAATATATATATTTAAAAAAAACAAACAAAAAAAAACCCAAAAAAAACAAAAAAAACAAATCCATGAAGTGAGAATTTCTCGCTGGCTCTCATTTTATAGAAGAGGAACGTAAGTTCAGAGAAGTTAATGTGGCTCTGGAGTGGAAAACATAGCCTGTTCACTTCTTTCCAGAAAGAAGATCTGGCTGGAGTGAGGAGTGTGAAAGAGGAGGGGGAAGCTTTGCTTTCTCTAAGCACATCTTCCAAAACTGGCACCTTCTCATGGTCTGTAAAGGGAAACCTGAAAAGCTGTTAGAGGAAGTCATATGAAATTTATTACTTAAACAGATGCACAGGTTGTATGTGTCTGTTGCAGTTACTGCTGCATAACAAATCACCCCCCAAAACAGATTGTCTTCCAACAACCATTTTATTGTACTCATAGGTTCTGCAGGTCAGGAATTCAGGCAGGGCAACAATGGGTGTGGCTTCTCTGATCCATGGCATCTGGAGCCCCAGCTGGGAAGACATGCATGCAGAGGGGTCACTTGAAAATTGGGGGCTGGAATCTTCTAAGGGTACCACTGGCTAGATGTCCAGGATTGCACATACATGGCTGAGGGTTGATGTTGGCTGTTGGCTGGGAGCTCAGCTGGGGCTGTTGCCCAGAGCACCACATGTGGCCTTTGTAGCATGGCAGTCTCAGGGTGCTTGGTGCTCTTATATGGAGGCTGACTTTCCCCAGAGTGAGCATCCCAAGAGAACCAGGCAGGCCTTTTTTGACCTAGCACCATTTCCAACTCCTTCTATTGATCAAAGCAGTCACAAGCTTGTCCAGATTCAAGGGAAGGGACACAGGCCCCCACCTCTCAGTAGTGCAAAAGAATACGTAGCTATTGCTTTTATTTTATTTATTTTTTACTTATTTTTTAAAATATATTTTTATTGATTTCAGAGAGGAAGGGAGAGAGAGAGAGAGAAACATCAATGATAATGTTAATCAGCTTAATAATAACCCACAACCGTCGGACCAACTAACATCAATGATAAGAGAGAATCATTGATTGGCTGCCTACTGCACACCCCCTACTTGGGATCGAGCCCACAACTCCCGGCATGTGCCTTTGATGGGAATTGAACCTGGGGCCCTTCAGTCCACAGGTCGACACTATCCACTGAGCCAAACTGGCTAGGGCTGTAGCTATTGCTTTTAAACACCACTATGTTGTCTTATTCCTTTATAACCTTATTCCTTTATGACTCCATTGATCCCAAATTATTTTAGGAGTTGTAGTTGGAGTCAGCAGGTGCTAGAATCCTGCCTTGGCTTTTCCACTAACTAGCTGTGGGACATTGAACCAGCCACCTAACCCATTCAAAGTTCCGTTTTCTCATTTCTAAACATCACTTATTATAAAATAAATAAACCCTTAGCTACCTTTCATCACTTATAAAATATCTTTAAAATGTAGCTGTCCTTTCAAACTCTGCACAGGATTACTATAAGGCAGTGGTCAGCAAACTCAGTCAACAGAGCCAAATATCAACAGCACAATGATTGAAATTTCTTTTGAGAGCCAAATTTTTTAAACTTAAACTATATAGGTAGGTATATTATTATTAACTTAATTAGGGTACTCCTAAGGCTTAGGAAGACCCACACTCAAGGGGCCAAAGAGCCGCATGTGGCTCGCGAGCCGCAGTTTGCTGACCACTGCAAAGGATTTGAATAGTCCCAAGCTGTTGGCAGAACTCTTGTTGGACAGAAGCTTGGTGACAATGGAGGGAGAAATGGGGGAGAGGGCATTGGGGACAATGGTGGGGAGTTGGAATAGGGCTGGACGGAGGTGAGATGTGTCTCCTTTCTGTTGGCCCTGCTATATTTGTGGAGGTGAGGGAAGGAAAGTAGAAGGAAGCACAGAAATGCAGGGGACCGCAGTCCTTTTTTGAACATGAGGTGGGAAGTGGTTCCGTATCTGGAAAATGTCCTATGGTTCTATTGAGCCCAGCTTCCAGAGAACCAGTGCAAACCTAGCAAGAGGCTGAGCCACAATGCAAATATAACAGGGTTGCTAGGACTCCACTCGGGTTTTCCCAGAATTGTATGGATTCGGTATGGATTTCAGTCACTCCTTGCCTATGTTTGCTCCTTTCCAAAATGCTTGATCCCTGACTCAGAGCCGTTGACTCCTCTGCTTGCCCTTTTCCCATCCCCTCCTGAACCATCAACCATCTTTGTTGTGCAGCAGGACACATTTTAGGCAACCACATAATGCCTCGCCATTGTATCTTTCAGGCAGTATTTCTGTTGTTTCCCTACTTTCAGAGAAACCTCCTTCTCTTAATAAATTAAACGTTTTGGAAAGTTTGTTCCAGTAAAACCAACCACAGGGTTCTTTCATTTCCCTTTACGTTTATAAAGGAGTAGAAACTTTAAAGGAGCTCCTCACCTTACTTTATTAGCTCTGTGGGGCTGTATTATATAAGCTCAGACCTTTCCACTTAAGTCAGAGGCTCACCTATCTACCCAGAGCCCATTAAACCATTAAGAAAAAAGATGTCTTTGTGGGCCAGGACAATTTGTGCACTTTGTTGGGAGTGAAGCTGACTTCCTCTTGCTCTGTGAAAAACATTAAAAGTTCCAGGAATTCTGCATCCTAAGCTGGTCCAGGTGTTGTTCCAACAGAGCAGGCAGCAGGGTCACCATTTCCTCCTGAGCACTTGGCTTCTTGACCCTTGCAGCCCACACAGGGCCTAGTGTTGGCCTCAGCCTGTAATTTTGTCTTACCCTTGTTCCCATGGCTCTGAGTTAATGCTCTCTCACTTTACACCCCCTGTCAGATTCATCCCACTCACTGGAAGGTCTGACATTGAATGGGGCTGCTCCTGGTCCCTCGTTTTTTGAGCTGGAATTCTCCCTGTTGCAGGCCTCATCCTTTACCTCGGGATGGTCACTATGGCACTTGACCTCATAAATCTGCCGTAAGTCAGGTGGCCTGCTGCTCTTTCTGGGGACCGTGGATGAAGCGTACAAAAAGGGACTGAAGACCGATCCCTAAAGACACCGACCATCATAGCCTGGACCCAGGAGGCACTGGCTCCCCTTGGTTTTCTTAGCTGGTATCAGAGATAACTCGAAGCCACTTTCTACTCTGCTTTTCTGAACTACTTCTTGGAAATAATTAAGGTACGAGGGGAGAGAGTTACACTCCTTGCATCTGTCTACCAGGTAGGGAGTGACATTCCTGGACAATAACAGATGCCAGCTCTACAGAAGGCTTGTAAACATGTGGTTGATGAGATTAGAGTTTTTCCAAACGAGGAAAACAAGGAGCTGTGTAAAATAAACTATAATCTTGGAAACTGTAACGTGCTGATGGCAGATGTCTATTTCTTTGCAAGTTTGTTTAACATGCCTACACTAGTTAAAAGTCAATCAGCACTTGAATCCTGCTGAATTAGACAATACAAGGACCTAAGGATGCTTGAATCTCTGTTATCTAGTATTTTATTTCTAGTCTACTTTTTCACCCCTTAAATTAGGCATTATTATTATCATTACTGTTATTAATTTTGAAGTCAATGTTTGCTTAGCTTTACCCAAACATTAACATATTTTTACTCACCTTCCTTTCATAGGTCTCAGCCTTTCCATTTAGGGAATTTTTTCTTCAGCTTGGGGTATATTTTTTAGAATTTTCTTTAGTGAGGATCTTTTAGTGATAAACTTTTTTTAGGCTTTGTCTGAAATTGTCT